GGTTACAGATTGTAGAGCCGAGCCGCTTGGCCGCTTGTTAAAATGAGAATACATATCTATTATGCTATTTATATCATAAGTCTATCAAGTGGCAAACTAGCTTTAAGGCATATTAACATATCGTTTGTTGTGTCGCATTAGGGTTGATGATCGAATAACAAACAGAAAAACGTAAAGAAGACACAAATTTACGTAATTCACCAACAATGTGTTAGCTATATTCACGGGCAAAAACAGAGAGAAGATTTATTGAGCACGGCTAGGTCACCGGTTACATATTTGAGCCGCTTGACCGTCTATTAGAATGAGAATACATGCTTATTTATAGCATAAAACTATGTCAATAATATCCAAATCATATTTCTAAATCTATGATATAATATTTAATATCCAAATTATATCTCAATATTCAACGCATATATGATTAAAAGAAATTTAGAATAAGTATTTAAATATTTTAAAAGTTATACCTCAATAAAAATATATGCAATATTAATATCATTTTATAAATTATAAAATTTTATATAACACAAAAAAATAAAAAAAATATATTTATTTATTTATGATTAACATAAACTAATTCTATATATATATAAAAAAAAAAAAAAAAAAAAGAGAGAGAGAGAGAGAGAAGAGTTTTAAATGTATATAAAACTGTTTTATTTATTAAGAAGGGAGATAGAAATAAAAAAATTTTGAATGGATCTATGTATGATGTTATATGTTATAAAGTTAATTAAGTTGATTTATATTTGTCAAGTGTATTAAATTAGTAAAATTTATCAAATATACAGAAGTACCATTTGTTATAAAAAAAAACTAAAATAAAATAATATCATTTTTTACAGGATTGAAATAAGTATTTGTTTATAGATTTTTATCCAAAGTAAAAGCAATTTTTTAAATTAAAAAGTACTTATTTTATAAATACGTAGGCATGATATTTAAAATAAATAGAAATATTTTTAAATTAAAATTATAATTTTGTCCATAATAATGATATATATATTATACTTATATGAAAATTAAAAAATATAGTTATGTTTTTAATTTAATTGATAATGTTATCCTTAAATTATAATTGAACTATCAAGTTAATATATATATATATATATATATATATAATTATACTAGATAATTTAAAATTATTAGGGGTGTATTTAATCTATATTAGCTAGGATTTTGTTAGATTTTTTAAAAAAGTTTTAAAATCTTGAGGTATTCAATTCAAATTTTTTAAAATTCTTTTAAAATATTAAGGTATTCAATACAAACTTTTAAAAGTCTTGTAAAATTTTGAAATATTCAACCATCCATAGACCTTCAAAATCTATGAATTTTAATGAAAAATTGTGAAAATTTTGTATATGATTGAGGAGAGATTTTGATGGATTCTTAAAATTATTATTATTATTATTATTATATATTATTATTATTATTGGTGTTGTTGTTGTTAATATAATAAATAATATGATAATATTTATTAATATTATTCTAATCTTTAATAAAAATAATAATTTAAAACTAAAATATATTAGTAAATTATTATGATTTTTTTAAATATATATTCTTATATTATAAATATAATTTTAAAAATTATTATTATCATAATAAATATATATATTATTGTCTTTTTTTCTTTTCAATTATTAAATATAATATATTGTAATTTCGGTGTAATTCTCCTTTTTCAATTATTGAATACACTATATTTTCATTCCGGTAACGGTGAAATAGATATTTAAATATATTTTTTTTTGTTGAACCATTAATTTATATTTATTTATTTATTTATTTTAACAATTTTTCAAAAATTATAATAACTAATAAAGAAATATAAAACTAATTTGATATATTGAATGATAATATAATACTAAAATTATAAAATTAAAATTAATAATCTACAATATAATAGTATTACAGATGTTACAATATTTCCATATTATTAATAATTATATATTATTTATTAATATTAAATTTTATTATATTTATATAATTAATATATATCCATAAAAAAAATTATTTTACAATCTTATAAAATTCATATGTAAATCCACAGAGAATTCAATCAAATCCGTAGAAATTCATCTAAATCAATTACTAAAATCCATCAAACCTAGCATAGATTGTGTGGATTTTCTAAATCTACGTAAATTCATAAATTTTTTAAAATTAAAAAAAAAAATTATTAAAATTCTATTGAATACACCCCTTGAATATAATTTATAAAATTTTTAAATAAGCTATAGAACATAATTAATTTAAAGTTAAATTATAATTTTAATTTTAATTGAAGTACTAAAATTTTCGTTTTATAAATATCAAATCAAATACTAATTCAAAATATTATATTAAATATATTTATATCAAATCATATAATTATTTAAATTTAATTTTTCTCTATTCAAATCCCAAAATATCCCGTCAAACAAATTTAGTAAAAAAATATATATTGTGCTTAATTTTTAAGTCAAATATTATATCTTATAAATACGAGTTTGTACGGATCTGCCACTTGAAAAGTCTATCTTGCCCCTCATTTCAAAAATGACAATTTAGCCCTTAACCTACCTTTGTACTGGCTTGAAAAGACGTTTTGGAACCTTCGTCAGCAACCGCCGTCAACCGCCCAAGACAAAACGTTTTGGAACGTCGTCTGGTCGGTTACATCAACCGCCTCGCCAAACGCCTCCACCAGTTCCAAAACTCAAATAGCCCACCCAACCAATCCAGAGACCAATCGGTAGACCAAAAGACTCCTTGACCGCACCCACCAAGCGACCTGTCTATCCGCCTGCGGACCAACTGACTTGCTTATGCGACCGTAGACCAGCCGACCTACTTTATCCGACTGCAGACCATCAGAAATGTCTGTCCGACCTTCTGACCATCAGACCTGTCTGTCCGAACGCTAACCATCCGACCGAGGACCAACCGACCAGATCAACCGACCGAGGACCTTCCGACTTGCCTATCCGACCGCTAACCAACCGACCTGATCATCCGACCGAGGACCAACCGACCGAGGACCTTCCAACCTGCCTATCCGACCGCTAACCAACCTATCTGACCAACAGACCTGAGCGCAAATTTTTCTCATTTTCCACCCGATTTCGTGTCTAACTTCCTTTAAGATCCTGCTATCCTTATTATTATTATTATTATTATTATTATTATTATTATTATTATTATTATTATTTGTGCGTAACAATTATCAAAGTTGAAATATCATTGCTATTTTTGACATTTCAAAACTCATAAAGAGATGCAGGGTCACCCTTCTTATCTCAGTCTACCCGCCTGCGGACCAGCTGACTTGCCTATCCGACTGCAGACCACCATTAGACCTGTCTGTCCGACCGCTAACCATTCTACCGAGGACCAGCCGACCATACCAACCGACCGAGGACCTTCCGACCTGCCTATCCGACCGCTAACCAACCGACCTGATCATCCGACCGAGGACCAACCGACCGAGGACCTTCCGACCTGAGCGCAAATTTTTCTTCTTTTCCACCCGACTTCGTGTCTAACTTCCTTTAAGATCCTGCTATCCTTATTTTTATTTTTATTATTATTATTTTTTGTGCGTAACAATTATCAAAGTTGAAATATCCTTGCTATTTTTGACATTTCAAAACTCATAAAGAGATACAGGGTCACCCTTCTTATCTCAGTCTATCCGCCTGCGGACCAGCTGACTTGCCTATCCGATCGCAGACCAGCCGACCTACTTTATCCGACCGCAAACCATGAGACCTGTCTGTCCAACCGCTAACCATCCGACCGAGGACCAACTGACCAAAGACCTTCTGACCTGCCTATCCCACCGCTAACCAACCGACATGATCATTCGACCGAGGACCTTCCGACCTGCCTATCCAACCGCTAACCAACCCACCTGACCATCCGACCAACCCACCTGACCAACCGACTTAAGCACAAATTTTTCTCCTTTTTCACCCGACTTCATGTCTAACTTCCTTTAAGATCCTGCTATCCTTATTATTATTATTTGTGCCGTAACAATTATCAGAGTTAAAATATCCTTGCTATTTTTTACATTTCAAAACTCATAAAGAGATGCAGGGTCACCCTTCTTATCTCAATCTATCCGTCTGCGGACCAGCTGACTTGCCTATCCGACCGCAGACTAGCCGACCTACTTTATCCGACCGCAGACCAGCCGACCTACTTTATCCGACCGCAGATCATCAGACCTGTCTGTCCGACCGCTAACAATCCGACCGAGGACCTTCCGACCTGCCTATCCCACCGCTAACCAACCGACCAGACCAACCGACTGAGGACCTTCCGACCTGCCTATCTGACCGCTAACCAACCCATCTGACCATCTGACCAACCGACCTGAGCGCAAATTTTTCTCCATTTCCACCCGACTTTGTATCTAACTTTCTTTAAGATCCTGCTATCCTTATTTTTATTATTATTGTTATTATTATTTGTGCGTAACAATTATCAAAGTTGAAATATCCTTGCTATTTTTGACATTTCAAAACTCATAAAGAGATGCAGGGTCACCCTTCTTATCTCAATCTATCCGCCTGCGGACCATCTGACTTGCCTATCCGACCGCAGACCAGCCGACCTACTTTATCCAACCGCCCGACCTGCTGACCATCAGACCTGTCTGTCCGACCGCTAACCATCCGACCAGACCAACCGACCGAGGACCTTCCGACCTGTCTATCCCACCGCTAACCAACCGACCAGACCAACCGACCGAGGACCTTCCGACCTATCTATCCGACAGCTAACCAACCCACCTGACCAACCGACCAGACCAACCGACCGATGACCAACCGACCTGAGCGCAAATAATTCGATTGTATATTTGTTTTACAGTTTATATTTCAAATAAATAATGTTTCACTACATTACATTATAGAATAGTCGCGCGGTATACCGCGCAAGAGCGTGTTCTAGTATATATATATATATATATATATGCATATATAAATGACAAAGTTTCTTTCCTACAAATAGCCACACACTGCAGCACTACGCAATAATTTCCCATTCTTTCTTACAGCTAATTCTTCTTCAGGGAGGGGTAATTAAGTAATATTACTTAATGTGGAGGCTGAAGATTGCCGACGGCGGCGGCGCAGGAGAGGTGAGGAGCTGGAACGGCCATGTGGGGCGGCAGCGCTGGGAATTCGAGGCGGCGGGCGCCACCGCCGGCGAAAGAGCGCAGGTGGAAGTCCTAAGGGAGAATTTCACGGCGAACCGGCACCGGTCCAAACAGAGTTCTGATCTCCTCATGCGCATTCAGGCATCAATTTTTATCTTCACTTGCTTTCTATATATATATATTGCTCATATTTTATTTTTTTAAAAAAAATATAATTATGCATTTCAATAATATTTTAAAATATATAATTATAATTTTTTTATATTAATTAAATAGTTTAGTTATTTTAAATTTTAATTTATAATTATTTTTACTAATATATTTTTCAATTATTTATTAATTATACACTACTTACATTTTTGTATTACAGTATAGATAATTTATCCAAATCGGAGAAAGTATATTTTAAGTCTTATGATTTTACAAAAAAAAATGTGACCGAACTATTTGAGGGCTCGGGAGGACTCGATTGTCGAAGCCGACGTTCGTGTCCCGTGCTTAGATTATATTGATCGTTGATTTGATTGGATTCGAACAATTTTTTTATGAGGCCGATATTTTCATATTAATTGAGTATGTCACGATAATTTTTATCGATATACTAATTTTTTTTAATTATTACTTTTTTTCTTATAACTTTTTAATAATTTTTTTTATAATATTATCACTTTATTTTCTTACACACTTTACTTTTTATATTAAATTATTTTTGTTTTCTAATTTTCGTATATCCAAAATTGCATAAATATCCGGAATGACAATAATATTATTTACTATTAGAATATCACACAATTAAATACAAACACATTCCTATATCTTTCTGCTTTAATAGTTAATTAATTAATTAATCCTCTATTAAGTATTAATTAATTAATTAATTAATTTCTCTCTTTTACTTATTACGTATTCTATCTGGGATGGAAGACCTAGACCTGCACGTTGTACCATAATAATAATAAAATAATAACTCACGTCATAAAAAAAATAAAAATAAATAAATAATAATAATAATAATAAAATAGTACGTGAGAAATAATATGATGGTATACGTAAACTTTCTTTTTTTTTCTTTTTAATAATATATAAACTGCAATCACTATTCGAATTCGAAAATGCGTACTGAGTGTATATATATAAACTTTTGATGATGGTATGGTAATGGGATTGAAAAAAAGTACTTCCTCCGTCCCATCTATTATGGACCTATTACTGTAGATACGAAAATTTAGATAAAATATAATTAGTAAGTATTTAAGAAGTGTATTAGTAAAAATAATTATCTTATAATAAAAATAATTGTGGATTAAGATTAAGATAACTAAATAATTTAATTAAGATTAAAAAATTATAAAATTTAAAATGAGATTAAAGTGTATAATTATATTTCCAAAAGAGAAATGGACAAATTATATGGGACGGACGAAAATAGAAAATAGGGACAAATTATGTGGGACGGAGAGAATAATAAAAAGGAGTTTGTTTGTTTATTCTTTAGATTTGCTTTTTTTATACTAAGGTATAAAAAATTTATTTATAATATAAAAAATAATATTTTATATTAAATGTTAATTTTTGTGACAGATTAACGTATATATATTGTGTGGAAAAAAATTAATGGGCAAACAAACTCAGGCTCTCTTCATTTTTTATATTTTTTTTAATATTTTAAGATGTCTGTTGCTTTTTTTATTAATATTTAATTTTTATTGTTCAATTTTTTAAAAGTTTAAAGAATACAAACATTCAAATTCAATCTGGACTAAAAAACATATCATTTTTTTATTTTAAAGTTTTTTTTTTTTTTTATTTATTACATGACCCGCAGCCACTATCCGAAAGTATGCAATGATAAATAAGGGTTTATTTGGTTTGTTTTCAAACTAGTTTCAATACAAATAAATATTATTATATGCAATAAATATGTTCTAACAAAAACACATTGAAAATGTGTAATAAATCAAATAATTCATTTTAAAAATAAATTATTCTTTTTATTTAATATTTTTTGTTTTAAAATTTAATAAAACAAATGTTTAAAATTTAATTAAATTTATTAATTGAGATGAAATAAAATAGAATTATCTTTTATTTTAATAGTTAATTTTAATTTAGTATGTTTTCGTTCGATAAATTTGTGCTTACTTTTTATTTATATATATTTGTCAAAATTTTGTTTCTATACTATAAATAGCAATTTTTTTTTATCTATTTAAATATTATTCTTATTTTAATCTATAATAATAATTTTTGTTGTTATTATTGCATAACACTCTCTTCCGTCCCCAAACACGCTTGGTAGTGATACATTATTTAAGATAATTATATTTAATAAATTAATGATAGTAGGTTAAAAATATAATTTTATTATTTCTTATATGAATAGCATTTTTAAAATACAGATTAATATATATGACTAAAAATATTAGAAATATATTTATATTTTAAAGATGATAGTATTTTAATAAAATATATATATTATAGATATTATAATGTACAAAATAATTTTTTTATATGATATATAAATAAAATATATATTTATTTATGACTACTATAAACTAATTTTATAAAAAAAAAAAAAATTGGAATTTAAAATATAAATAACAATATTTATTTATTGAAAAAAGAGATAGAAATAAAGATAATTTAAGTAATCATGTTAAGAATTTAATTTATTGGATTAATATTTTTTTATTTATATTTAAAATTAATAAATTTATCAAATATAGAAATATATCATATGTTATGAAACAAATTAAAATAAAAAAAAAACATCAATTGTTATGTACGAAAAAAAATATTTACATTATCAATTAAATACATTCTCTAACTAGTTTTAAAAAATATATTTCTACATAATATTTTATACTATTATAATATACTATCTTCATCTCAAAATTAAATACTTTTTTTGTCACGTAATTTTTTAAATAATAATATTTATTTATATATAATACAATTAAGAAGTAAAAGAAAAAAATACTATTAATAATGTGTAAGATAAAAATAATAATATTTATATAATATATTATAAATTATAAAAATAATTTTAATGTAATATAATTAGTAAAAAGATGAATATTTGTTTTGAAATGAATCAAATAAATAATAAATAAATATTTTTTATGGAACAAATGATATACTAACAAATTATTCATTAGTAACTTTTCATTTGATTTTTACATATGAATTATGGTGAATTGATATTTTATACGCATGTAGTGTAATAAATTATAAATTAATATTCCCTCGTCCCACTTAATTTACGCTATTTTCTATTTTCATCTGTCTCATGTATTTGTCATTTTTTTTTTAGAAATATAATTATACATTTTATTTAATTTTAAAATTTAAAACTTATAATTTTTTTATTTTAATTAAACTATTTATTGATTTTAATCTTAATCATAATTATTTTTACTAATATACTTTTTAATTACTTACTACTTATATAATATCTAAAACTCCGGACAAATTAACTGGGATTGAGAGAGTATAATATTCATTTTGCCTTTAAAAAATAATGTAAATAAGTACAAAATAGAGGTACTTTTAAAATATTTAGGTGAAATTTAATTTTTCTAAACAAAACCAGAAATTTTAATTTGAACAACTTAAAATGACAAATGAAAATTTTACTATGTATTAAAAAAGTACTCATTTCATTCCAGAACTATAGTCTGGTTGTGTTTGACACGACATTTAAGGAATATTGATATTATATTGGTAGTGGGTAAAAAAAACGAATAAAAGATTTTTTTGCTCTTGTGAGGGTATTAGTGTGAAAAGTAGTGGCAATTGGGTAATAATAATGAAAAAGTAAAGGTAGTTTTCCAGTGATATGATTATTTATAAAAATAAAACTATTGTTTGAGACGGACAAAAATAATAAATAAAACTATTGTATTGGGACGGAGGGAATAATATTTTTTGTTAATTTTCGTGCACAATCAAACAGGGAACATGATTTTGAAGTATAATTGGCACACCTAATTCCACCCCACCTCTTTAATTCCGATCACTTTCATGCCTACATTTCACAAGGAAGACCCGTGCTAGTTTTGTCAATCTCAACTTTGATTTTTTTTTTATTTTTTTATTTTTTTTTATTTTTTACAAAAAAAAGAAAAATTTTATTATTAATTCTTTTAATGTCTTTTATTTAAAATATATATTCTTTTCTTTTTGTTTTTTTGGTCTCACTTAAATTGGTATATTTTCATTTTTGATAAAATTTACTAAAGTGAAATATACTTAATAAATATAAATTAATTTAATTAACTTAATAATATATAAAGTTATACATCGTGATCCATTAAAACTTTTTTATTTCTATCTATTTTCTCAATTAAAAAATATATTTATTTACATTTTAAAATTCCTATATTTATTTTTATTATTTAAATTTTATTCTTTACTAAATGATATTATTTTATTAAGATATCATATTTAAATATTTAAACACATGTATAAAATTTATTTTAATTATATACAGTGACGGAATTAGGTTTCGAAATTAGACGGACAGAACTATGTAGTCGGTTTTGATATTTTATGATATTATTTAAGTTTTACTATATTTTAAATTGTTAACCGTTGATATTATGTACAAATCAATAGTCCCCAGCCCATATAAATCGGTCTATGATTATATATTAATTATTGTTTTAAAATTAAAAATAATATTATTCATATAAAAAATAATAAAATAATATTATAATTTACTATAATTAATTAATTAAATTTTATTATCTTAAATATCGTATCGCAAATCAAATGAACTATTTAAAATGGAACGGAAGAAATAATATTTTGGCAAACAAAATATATATTTTAAAAGTTAAATCATATCCAAAGAAAAGTAAAGAGAAAATTTGAGTTCGACATGAAATTTAAAAAAGAATAGTATAATATTGAAAGTAAATATTAAATATATAGTAAAAAATTATAGTATTAAAAAACTAAAATATTCTTACAAGTGTATTTGTATAAAAAGTAATAATATTTATGTATAAATAATAAAAAAATAGAGATAGTTTTATTTTTATATGATTATTTATGAAAATAAGATTATTATTTTAAGACGAACAAAAAATGAAAAAAAAAAAAAAAACTATTGTTTTGGGACGGAGATAATGTAATTATACTTCTTCCGTCTACTTACAAAGTATACATATTTCTATTTTAGTTGTCAAATTAAAAAAATAACCATTTCAAAAGTACCTCATTATTTTACAAAATTTCTATTTTATCATCACTTTTTTACTTTTACACCCCAAGTATTTTTACAATGCTTTTAACTATATACTGAAATTAGAATATTGTTATTTTTAAAATTTTGCGCCAGAAATAAATATTTACTTTTAAATTGAACAGAAATAGTATCAAAATATGTGTTACGTAGTTCATATTTGTAACGTGTATTGTATGAATATAGTTCATGTTTTTTTTTCAAAATTTTTTTATTTTTTTTAAATTAAATCAAATTAAAAAATTAAAAATATATAAATAAAATTAAAAATAAATTAAAAATAAGTTTTAAAAAAATAAAAAATAAATAAAAAATCCACGTGTCCGCCAGTTCAGCGCCATGTGTCGCTACCTGGCGGACACGTCACCTCCGGCGAGCCACGCGGGCATGTCCGGCGCCGGAGGACTAAAATAGCGAAAATTTTTCACTTATGAGACTAGTTTGCGACAGGCTCTACTTACGATACTAAAATGATAAGGGGGTCCAGTTACGGAACAAAAAAAACAGTTTACCTTAACATCTATTATGTGACATTATATTATTTTTTATTAGGTTATATATTATTTTATTTGTATTGTATTAATACAGATCAATATTGCATAATTCAATACAATAATAAATGTCATTTATTTCATTCATCCCAAAATAATTGAAACGTTTTTAATTAGTATGCCTCATTTTATTGACATGTTTGTATTTTTAAGTAAAATATACTCATTCAAAATCTATTTTGTAAATTTAAATCAAACTTAATTAATTTATAACATATTGATTTGTGTGATAGCCACTTAAAAGTTTCCTATTTTTATTTTCTTATCAATAAACACATATATTGATGTATATTTAAATTTTTTTATTTTTTATAACATAACCTTCTGTCAATTGTAAAAAGTAGCAGTAGTATTTTATTTTTTTTTACAAAATAATATTAATGTTGTATATATTTTATTAAAATATAATTTTTAAAATTATATATATTTTTTATCTATTAAAAATTTTAATAAATATTTTGGGTGTATTTATTTAGTATTTTAATTCGAGGTATTTTTTATGTAATATATGTGGAATGGTATAAAATAATAATATTTTATTTTGAATGTTGACTATAATATCTTATACTCTCTCCGTTCATTTATTATGTCCATATTTCTCCCTCTGTCCCATTTATTCTGTCATTTTTTTAAAAAAGAATTATACATTTTAATCTTATTTAAAAAAATTTAATTTATATTTTTAAATTTAATTAGACTAATGAGTTATCTTAATTTTAGTTATACGATAATTAATTTTACTAATATATTTTTAATTATTTACTAATTATATCATCCTAAATTTTTGTATTTATTAATACATTTTTAAAAAGAACACGATAGAATTAACGGAGGGAGTATATTGAAATTCGTGTCAGATATAAATGCAGTTGAGCAAACAAATCCTTAACATTATTCACATGAAAAAATAATAGATGTATTTGTTTAGCGTTTTAGTTTAATATATTTTTTTTCTTACGTGAAATAAAGAATTAGATATACTAGGTACTATTCCCTCTATTCCAGTATCCAGCACGAAGTTTTAAAAATATTAGTATTATATTAGGATATAATAGGAATAAAATAAACATAAATAAAATAACTTATTAGATATATAATACAATCACTAAAAAAGAAAATGAATATTTTCTTATGAGAGGGACTAAAATGAAAAAATATATATTTTGCTATGAAACAGAATGAAGTATTATTTAGATACATGAATATTTATACTCCCTCCGTCCCATAAATATAGTCTTAATTGGGTTGGGCATGAGATTTAAGTAACATTGATATTATATTGATAGTTGGTAAAAAGTATAGATAAAAGACATTTTTGCCCTTGTGAGTGTATTAGCGTAAAAAGCGAGTAGTTTTAGGATGATATAATTATTTATGAAAACAAGAACAATTGTTTTGAGAAGGACAAAAAAATGATAAACAAAATTTTTTATTAATATTAATAGAAAATTTTATAAGGGTGTGTTTGTTTGAAGGATTTTGGAGGATTTCCACTATTCATCAAATTTTTTCCCCCCAAAAACATCGAATCAAACACCTATTTTTCATTTTTTATATTATATTAAAAAATAATTTTATATTCAAAACATCACATCAACACCTATTTATATCACATCATACAACTATTCAAATTCAAAATTTTTACTATTCAAATCCCAATCCAAAATCCAAACCCCCAAACAAACAAATAAATTTATTGACTGAACAAACATAATAAAAATTATAATAGTTAAGTTATTAAATTTTGATTGTACTAAATCTGACGGCGGAGGGAGTTTTATTAATAATCACATCTCATATTTATTTATTTTTTTAAATTTCAAATATTTGAAAAAAATGAATATCAAAATAATTCCAAAAAATACGTCCTACTATTTTGGGTGCATGAGTATAATTATTGTATTCATACTATTCTTAGCTAAGGAAGGAAAATACATGTGGCCCTATTCCGGCGCCGGTCAATGTCAGAGAGACTGAACAAATTACAGAGCAAGCGTTGTTGGCCACACTACGGCGAGCCATCGGTTACTACTCCACCATTCAGGCCCACGATGGCCACTGGCCGGCGGAATCTGCTGGTCCATTGTTTTTTCTACCTCCTTTGGTATGTGGCTAACATTGTTGAAGCGGAATTCTACTTTGAAGTTAATTGTCTGTGATTATTGGACTGATTAGATTAAGTGTCTCCGGTGGACGGATACTTTAGCGGTTTTCTAAAAATGTCTGGAAGAAATTGGTTCTGGTAGTTTGTTATTGAGAAATTTCTTCGTCTCCATTTCGTGCGTATAATGTGTTTTTTGAAGATGTTCTTAATGTAGGGGTTTATGGATGTAGTGAAAATGCTCTGCAACATCTATGGCTTTAAATAAAGAATGACTTTGTTTGTTAATTTGTTCGTGAGAATTTTCTTGTTGTTGCACATTCTTGATGTTTCAAGGTGTAGAAAGTTGAAGATGCCAACAATGCCACTGTTCTAATCCAATTTATGCGTTGTTGTGTACGTACTATTGATTGAAAGCTTCCACTTGGATAAGTTTTGAATCGAATTTGGCAATGTGCAGGTTATGGCTTTATATGTTACTGGAGCAATAGAGGAGGTTCTATCGCCACCACATCAGAAGGAGATTATTCGATACATTTACAATCATCAAGTTCTGTTCAAACTCTTGTTTCTAATAAGTTTTATGAACTGATGCAGTTGATCTATGTTCTACTTGTTGGTATGTTTTCAGTAGTTTTAACCTATAATTGTCTCATTATTGATTGGTTTTTGTGGACAGAATGAAGATGGAGGTTGGGGTATACATATAGTTGGCCACAGCACGATTTTTGGTTCTGTTCTTAGCTATATAGCTTTAAGGTTGTTGGGTGAAGGCCCTGAGGATGGTGAAGATCAGGCAGTGGCCAGAGGTCGAAAATGGATACTCGACCATGGTGGCGCTGTGGGCATACCGTCATGGGGAAAGTTTTGGCTCACGGTGGGACGAACAATGTCTTTAACTCCAACAAAACCTATTTGTGCTTTATACGTTTAAGCAGTGTAACAGAACATTTTAGAAACTTGTTTGTTTTTCTTACTGCATCAGGTGTTGGGAGTATACGAGTGGGACGGTTGTAATCCGATGCCCCCGGAGTTTTGGCTGCTTCCAAACTTCTCCCCCATTCATCCAGGTTTTTGCTTAAGTATCTTGAATTTGAATGTGATCATCAAATGTTCATAATTTCATTTAGATCAAGTTATTGAGGCTGTTGAATTTAAATGCAGGGAAAATGTTGTGTTACTGTCGCTTGGTTTATATGCCAATGTCTTACTTATACGGGAAGCGCTTTGTTGGGCCTGTCACGGAACTGATTCGATCCCTAAGGCAAGAAATTTACACACAGCCCTATCATGAAATAAATTGGAACATAGCAAGAAACACTTGTGCACAGGTTTGTTCATCCATAGTGCTCGAAAATTTCGAAAAGAAATGTTGAAAATTGTTGACATGGTATGTTGCTGTGATTCTTAGGAAGACCTTTACTATTCCCACCCTCTTATACAAGATATGCTTTGGGGATTCCTTCATCATTTTGTTGAGCCAGTGCTCAAACGATGGCCATTTAATAAATTGAGAGAGAAAGCCTTAGCAATTGCAATGGAACATGTTCATTATGAGGATGAGAACAGCAGTTATTTATGCATTGGATGTGTCGAGAAGGTAACACAAGTTCATACTAAAATTCTATGCTTTCTTCATATATATATATATATGCATGCCCACACATGTATATCTATACTTTATCAAATTGTAAACTAAATCACTTAGGCCCTATTTGTGAACGCTTTTGTTTTCCGCTTCCAGTTCCTTAAAAATAAAATAAACCTAAAAGTTAGAATTATTAACATAATAGTTGGAATGTTTTCAAAATAAAGTCTAAATTCAGTTAAATGATGCTGATTGTGAGTGTTGAACTTAAAATTCTGATCTAATAGCTAACTGGGAATGTTTCATCGTATTAAGCAGTGAATTGTCAGCCAAAAGTTATTTTATTGAAAAAAAAAATCAAGACATTATTGGAATTAGCCCACAGGCACTTCCAATATTTGGCTGATTTCTTCCTTAGAATATTTCATATGCCTTAACTTAGAAACCATACTAATGAAGGTGTAAAGGCAGGTAATGATGCTACTGAGTCTTATGTTATCCTTTATAGGTTTTGTGTCTGACTGCTTGCTGGGTGGAGGATCCTAATTCCGAAGCATATAAACAACATCTTGCTCGAATACCAGATTACCTTTGGGTGGCTGAAGATGGTATGAAAATGCAGGTACTTTTCTCCTTTCTCTCCTACTAAATTAATGAACATATGTGTATACAATATTTTATATACACATATGTATATATATTTATGTTCTTATTAATGCTGAAGTCAAATCCTAAATTTTCAGAGTTTTGGTTGTCAAATGTGGGATGCTGCATTTTCTGTTCAAGCAATTTTATCAGCTAATCTTGCCGAGGAGTTTTCACCTACTTTGAGGAAAGCCCATGATTTTGTGAAAGCCTCACAGGTTGAATCTGATCCAGTAAAACTAACTGCCGATCAAATAACTCCACTTGTTGTTTTCATGCACTAATTTGACAGTGTGTGTGATCAAAAGGTTCGAGATAATCCCTCTGGTGATTTTCGTAAAATGTACCGCCACATTTCTAAAGGAGCTTGGACATTTTCCATGCAAGATCACGGCTGGCAAGTCTCAGATTGCACAGCTGAAGGACTCAAAGTAATTTTAATTTTCACACTTCAGATTTCTATGTGAGACTGTTAAAGAAATAGATAGATTAGTTTCATGTGTGACATTATATTTTTCTGTCTTCACAGGCTGTTCTTCTCTTCTCCCAAATGTCTCCGGAGCTCGTGGGAGTGAAAATGGAAACTGAGCGCTTGTATGATGCTGTAAATGTGATCTTGTCACTCCAGGTTGAGACTCCTTAAGTATCTTTTCTTCTGTCAATGTGTCGATTTTCAAACATAGTTTTCAAGTCTTTCTAGCCGACATACTCTTCGTTTTTTCTTGAGATGTTGCTATAGAGTGAAAGCGGTGGATTTCCAGCATGGGAACCTCAACGAGCACAACAATGGTTGGAGGTAAGTAATTTCTGTTCTTGCAAAGCTGGAGATTCTGAATCTTATGGTTTACATAATTCTAAGAAATAATTGTTAGTAATGAGATTTATATATTTCATACTGCTTACAGAAATTCAACCCAACTGAATTCTTTGAAGATGTTCTGATCGAACGAGAGTAAGCTCATTTCAACCTGTGCCTTCTACGAATCTCTTGATTCTACCATGTCTTCCGACATTGTTGACATACAGAAGTGCAAATAATGATATGAAGGGCCCTAAAATTCAACTAAAGACATAAATATATCTGTGTGTGTTTAAAATGACAAAGATTTTCTGAAAAATTATGATTACAGCATTAGTTCTTTCCTTAAAAAATTTGTTTACAAGATAGCCTCGAGGCCCTCGACCAATTCATCGCATCCTTGTGTTTCAAATAGTTATGTAGAATGCACTTCCTCGGCAATACAAGCTCTAGCTCTTTTCAAGAAGCTTCACCCCGGGCACAGAAGGAAGGAAATCAAAAGCTGCATATCAAGAGCCATAAGCTACATCGAAAGCACTCAGGAGCCCGATGGTTCTTGGTATGTATTTGTAAATATTCTCCATTGATCCAACTTATACAAGAACATATATTTTGAAACAGAGACTCGAAATCCCATTATCCACAGGTACGGTTGTTGGGGCATATGTTATACCTATGGGACATGGTTTGCTGTGGAGGGTTTGGTTAGCTACGGCAAGAACTACCATAATTCCATAGCGCTGCGAAAAGCATGTGAATTTTTGCTGTCAAAACAATTACCCGACGGGGGATGGGGTGAGAGTTATCTTTCAAGTTCAAACAAGGTTGGCATTAAACATTGCTACTCCACAATAAAAAAAATGGAATATTATTGTTTTTTCGATATATATGTATTCTTGGTTGTTGGTATGTAGATCTACACTAATCTTGAAGGTGAAAAGTCGAATTTGGTTCAAACTTCATGGGCCTTGTTGTCCCTCATTGATGCTGGACAGGTTAGCTCGCGAATCTTTAGATCGATGTTATTCTAAAGAAGACAAGCATTGCTTATGCTTCTGTTTTTTTTCTTTTTTCGATTAAATTCAGGCTGAGATTGACCCTTTGCCCATACACCGTGGATTGAAGCTTCTAATCAATTCCCAGATGGAAGATGGCGACTTTCCTCAACAGGTCAGTCGACATACATTATTTTTTAACGTTATTCATCAACATATACACGAGAACAGGATGCATAATCGAGCCATTTTAATAATGTGGAATAGGATATAACGGGCGTGTTCATGAAGAATTGTACTCTTAACTATTCATCATATCGCAACATCTTCCCCATTTGGGCACTCGGCGCATATCGTCGCCGGCTATTCCAAGCTTAGTTGCCTACAATGAATGGATAGATGCATGCATAAAATGGTGAATAAGCTAAGTGAGTTACTCATTATCAATAACTTTCATTTGTGTATCCTATTTACTTAAAAACTTTGTCGAACCATTTATAAGAAAGACCATGTATCCTATTTACTTAAAACTTTGTCGAACCATTTATAAGAAAGACCACGTGATGGTTGTATCCAAGATTGTTAGATTATAAGTTCTTGAAATGTGAATATGATTGTACTCATGGAGGTAGATTGAGTCAATATTTTATGGAGTTTATGGATAGCAAATAAAATAAATATTTGTTCTCTCTCCAAATTTGTTTGGTATTTTTATTTTAAAAAAATATAATACATCATGGGAAAAAAATCAATTTTGGTTATAATAGAATCAAAATTGATCAGTTTTGATCCAAACGTAGAACATTCATCGATTTTAGTCTCATTATAAATAATTTCAATCAATTTTGGTCCAATTGTTAAAGAAAACTAATGAAAATTGTTGACGCGGACGTAACAGAGTTGACATGGTAGCGGATTTGGAAACAATACGACCATGTTGTCACAAGGTCGTGTATAATTCAATGTATAACTATACATGGTCATGTTGTCACACGGTCGTGTTTAATTCTACACGGTATACCTTTATGTTTTGCTCTAAAATTTTATTTTTTTTGTTATATTTTTTTTTAAAAAAATAAAATTAAATTTATAATAGTTGATATAGTTAAAATGGAAAAAAAAATAGTAATTCTAATATAATTAAAATGTATTAATTTTAGTTCAAATATAAAAGTTTATCGGATATATTCTTTTAGAAGATTATTCACCAAAATTTTTCCTCTTACAAATATCCAATTACATAACTATTTTTTTGTTTTTTATATTACATTAAAAATTAATTTTACATTTCAATACAATTATACATGAAAATTTTTTGGTGAATAGCATAATTTATTTATTATCCATGTATAATTATATTGAAAAGTAAAATTCCCTATAACTCATCAAATTCTTTTTTTTTTTAAACCAAAACACAAAACAAACACTTATTTCTCCACTAAAAATCGATTAATTTAATAATCAATTAAATTGTACACTCAACCAAAAAGAAAACTAGAACTGTTGACTTAATTTTTTTATATATGGTGTCTATGTGTGCACATTGGAACTTTTTTTTATTTATTAATATAAAATTTCTATTTTTCAACAAATATTCAAACATGATATTAGAGCCAATTTAGTTTTTTTTTTTTTTTTTGCTCAATGTGTCGTCATCTCGTTTTCATTGTCAAATGCCACATCGCCGGCACCACCGCCTTCGCCTCCTCGAGACCGGCCGGCTCCTGAAATTTGGTCGCCATCACCGGCGCGTCGCACCTCCATGCGCCGGCGATGCAAATCAGCGTCAGAGGCCTTTACGCTGTCGTCTCTTCCCCCCGCACGTGACGGCGCGCCTGGTGGCTTCCGGCCACCGCCTCCTGCTTCGATCCCCGACGTCCTGGTATGGTCGATTTTGCCATCTGATTTAATTTAATTCGAGACTGTTACTGGGTTGGCTTGCCTAGTCTAATTTTCTGCACGATTCTTTTGCGTGCTCTATATTATTTCTGATCTTCTCGCTTCATAGTATGTCTCTTAATATGGATCGTGTAGACGTTTCCGGAATTACTGTTCTTGTTACTGGTGATAATTATGATTTATGGGCTGAATCCATGAAGAGCTTTTTGATTAGTAAAAGATTATGGCGCTATATTACTGGCGACTTTTCTGCACTGATTGCTCATGTTGTCACTTCTACGTCGCCACTCAGGAATAAGGAGTTCACGAATTATCGAAATGCGTTGGATGAGTGGGATAGTAAGAATCACATTATTCTTACTTGGATTCCGAATACCTCTTCCAAGTCCATTCAGATTCAACTTCATTGGACACTGCCAAGAAAGCTTGGGATTATTTGCAACATCGATATCAGGCCATTGGAAGCATGCATTATCATCGGCTTATCGGGTCATTGAATGCACTAACACATGACTCGCGCCAGGATATGAATGAGTTCCTTTATACTATGCAGTCTATGTGGGATCGCAATGATGGGGCAGACATATAGATTGAGCACTTTCGGTTGATTCAGCTCTTGATGAAGTTTGGTCCAGAATATGAGTATGTTAGGGGTGAGCATTTGGATTTTCGGTTCAAATTTCGTCAAATCCGAACCGATCCAAAAATCCAAAATTTTTGAAAAAGGTATTCGAACCGAACCGAATTAACCGAAAAATCTGAAATCCGAATTAAAAAATCCGAACCAATCTGAAAAATTCGAAAAAAATCTAAACTTCAAAATCCGGATGAAAAAATTCGAACCAAATCGAAATATAAAAAAAAAAACTCTATTTTTTGAAATAATATTTTAAAAAAACACAATCATAATATATAAAACGACACAAATAAACATCATAATGCATCAAATAAACTACAAAGATATATCAACAAAGAAACTAAGCACAAATAATTAAATAAATCTTATAATTCAACAAACAAATTAACGCAAATTTCAACAAACAAAGTAAGCACAAATAAGTCTATTAATGCAAGTTATGCACCAAGCAAACCAAGTTTAAATTTCAACAAACAAACTAAGAAAAATAAATATGTTAACGCAACAAAACACCAAGACAATTCACCCATTCATAGTCACACTACAATGATCATTCATTTCAAAACTAAATTAAAAAATTCATTAACCATTTAATCAATTATTTCCGAATTGAAGAGAAGAAAACCTACAAGATGGACAATAATAATGATGTCGATAAAAATTTTAATAACCTATAATAGGAAGATAGATATATATAAATTGAATTGAAGTTAGAAAAGCATGGAAAGTATACAACTTAAAGCAATCACGTGAAGTTGTCCATCTAGATGGAATCTTAAACTTAAGACAAGCCTTAGACATAAAGTATTGAAATCCCTCTCTTTCAACAAATTTAAAAGGTAAGTCATCAACAATAATCATATGAGCTAAGACATTCCTAACTTCTTTTTAATCAAAACTCCAAGCACTAAGATATGAACTTTGTCTAGATGGCAAAATCAATTGTGATTGCTTAAGATCTATGTTTCCGACTTTTTTGCATTCAAATAGCATTAAGTGTAGTAGTCTAATTTTTAGAATCACCACCAAATATTCTCCCATAACGCACACACTTAGCTTTGTCTTACATATCATTATCTATAAAATGCTAAAAATGATCCCAAACATGTGATCTTTTTTGCATAGTTTTCTCTTTTTACATTAGGATTGAGTAGGTTGAGAACTTCTACCACCTCCATCGTCATCATGCGTAGTATTCTCAACATATAATCCAGGTCCACGAGTGCTTTCAGATGTATCTTCAAATATTTCAATGTTATTCGACATCTTCAAGAAAAATAATATAAAAAGGAGAAAGTGAGTTAATAATTCCTTTATTGCAAATAAAATATTTGAATACAAATAAATAAATAAATACTTACCTTACAACATAGAAAGCTTCTAATTTATACTAAAAAATCAACAATAAAAAAATTTATTCAACATATTAACAGCATATGGCAATATTTTAAGATAAATAATAAGAATCAATATAATTTTTTTTAAAAAAAAAATCTACATAAAAAATCAAACTTACATATTAAACAATAAACAACATATCTACAAAAGTATTTTATATTTCAACATGTTTACAAATTTCAATACTAAAAAAACCAAAACACAAAATAACTTAGGAGTACAGGAGTAATAATAAACAAATAATAAATCAATATAAGAAATTAAACAAACAACCGAAATAATCATAAAAAAAACAATAATTTAAACTCACCAGAAGTAAAAAAAGCCCACCGAAGTGATCGAACTGAACGAAAGCAACAACTGTGACCGAACCAAACCGAATCAACAGTGGGAATCAATACTTTCGAACAATGGAGAGAAATAGAGGTAGGAACGATGGCGACGCATGGGCGATGGAAACGAGCAAGGAGGAGATAGGAACGACCGAATGATGATGGCGGTCACGACGGGGTTGGGAGAACGCCTCGACGACTCGACGAGAGGAAAGCTAGGGATCGTCTCTACTCTCTAATCGGCATGAATTACAGAGTTGGGTATTTGGTTTGGACTTTGGTATCATTTATTAATACGTAATATTATATAATTATATTTCATATTTTATTTTATTTTAAAATTCCTATTAAAATAATAAATATACATAATAAAATAATAATAAAGTATATTAATATGTATAAGTAATTTTATTTTTATATTTATGATAAAATATTAAATATATAATATAAAATATTAATAAATTATCATTCGGATTTCGAATTGGATCAGATTTTTAGTACACCAATTCGATTCGATCCAAAAATTCAAAATTTCTAAAATTTGTGATCAGAACCGATCCGAAAATCCGAATCAAATTTTAGATTTTGGTTTGGTTTGCAACCGATATCTGAATTTCGGACATTTTGCTCACCCCTAGAGTCTGTGCATGCTTCATTGCTTCATCGTCATCCCTTGTCTTCCTTGGAGACAGCGATGAAGGATATTTTGTTTGAGGACACCCGCCTCAAGATGATCTAGGCTCTTACCCTTGATTCGGCTTTGGCAGTTTCATTTTCTACTCCATATCGCCGAGATAATCGCAAGGATGCCCAACCACTTCAATCTGATAAATTTCACAGTTGCCCGAATGTTGATCATCTCTATATCCACTAACCTAAGGTTGAGTGTCACTACTGTCATCAGAAAGACCACATCCGTTCACATTGTCCTAATAATCCCAAGGCTAGTCAATCCTCTTCCGGCTCTTTCTCTGCCATTGTTGTTACCACTAACGTATCACAGTCGCCTTAGCCGTCTCCCACTCTTGAGGACCTCTGTTACATGCTTACTCAAGTTTTATCAATCCATCATTCCTTAGCCTTGACATCAGGTAACAACACATGGTATATTGATTCTGTCTGTTGTAACCACATGACACCTGACCCTCGTCTTTTACATTCCTCCAAACCCGTCACATCGTCCCCTCATATACTTACCGTTGATGACACCTCCATGCGCATTACTTATACTGACCTTATATTGTCCCCCCACATCGATGATGTTTAGGTCATTTCCAAATTAGCCTTAAACCTTACTTTTATCGGTCAGTTGGTTGAGCAGAATCGTACTATAATTTTCTATTCTTCTGGTGTGCAGGTTCAGGACACGTGGACGGGTCGCATGACAGACACCTATTTGAGCTTGACCACCTTCACCCTCGCTAGACACTATCTTTTTCCGCTGCAGTTTCTCTTTCTTCTTCCTATCACTAGCACCACAGACTTGGTCATGTCTCTCTATCTAAACTCAAGTCTCTTTCAAATACAGGTGTTTTAGGTTCAATTTGTTTTGAGTCTTTTGATTGTTTGCATTGTAAACTTAGAAAACAACTAGCTTTATATTTTTTGAACTTGTCTATTGCTGATAAATCTTTTTCGTTAGTACATTCTGACATTTGGGGGCCTCTCTTATTGCTACTCTTACTTGGTTTTGTTACTTTGTGTGTTTTTATTGATGATTACTCTCGCTTTACTTAGATTTACTTTATGCATAAGCGGTCTGAACTTGCCTCCATTTACTCTGCATTCGCAGCCCTCGTGTCCTATTCAGACTCTTCGCACTGACAATGTCCTCGAATATAATGATTTTATCATTCTTAGTTTTCTGTCCATCCAGGGTACTCTTGTCCAACAATCTTGTCCTTACACATCTCAGCAAAATGGTAAGGCAGAGCGCAAGCATCGTTATATTTTAGACACAGTTTGAGCCATGTTGTTATATGCTAGATGTCCAAATAGGTTTTGGAGTGAGGCTGCTCTTACTACTGTTTATAATATTAACCGCTTACCCTCCTTTATATTTCAAGATACCACACCTTTTGAGAGGCTCCTCCGCTAGTTACGTGATTACTCTCATGTTCATCCTTTTGGTTCTGTCAGCTTTGTTCATCTTTCTCATCATGAATGAAATAAATTAGAACCACGAACCCTGTTTGTGTTGTTTTCTTGGGTATGAGATAGAACATAAAGGTTATAGATGTTAGGATCCTATGTCGAATCGTCTACGTATCTCTCAGGATGTTACTTTTTGGGAGCATAAGTTAGTTTCCTCTGAGTCTAAATTTTCCATTTCATTTGAGTCGGAGTTCCCGTTCTTTGTTCTGGATTCATCTTCTTCTCCCGCAGGTCTCGAACCCCTGTTTGTTCCTACTGGTCTGTCTGATGTTGATCCTTCCCCACCAGCTGATCCACATGCGCCTCCGGAGCCGGTGTCCAATCCTCCAGAAGTTCCAGTTCCTGCTGCCACTGATCGGCGACCAATCCGTGTAAGTCGCCCTATCTCATATCTACTCGATTATCATTGCTTTTTTGTTATTTTATCTCACCATGAACCCAGGACCTTTTGTAAGGCGAACTTTGATCCCTTGTGGTGCGACGCTCTGTCTGAGGAATTGCAGGCTCTTGAGAAGATCGGCACGTGGGATATCGTCGATCTCCCTCCTGGCAAGAAACCTATTAGCTGCAAGTGGGTGTGCAAAATCAAAACTCACTCTGATGGTTCTGTTGAGTGCTACAAGATGAGCCTTGTATCCAGAGGTTTCTCGCAGGAGTATGATATTGATTATGATGAGACATTTACTCTAGTTGCTCACTTGACATTTGTCCATTGTCTCCTTACAGTTGCCATTGTTCGACGTTGGCAACTATTATAGTTGGATGTGAAGAATGCATTTCTTCATGGAGATTTGTCTGAGGAAGTCTACATGACTCCTCCACGTGGTTATATTTTTCAGGAAAGGTATGTATTTAAGTTGCAACGTGCCCTTTATGGACTGAAGCAGGTGCCCTGAGCTTAGTTCACCAAGTTTAGTGTTGCGCTCATTCAGTATGATTTTTTTGCATCTCCTTATGACTCTACTCTCCTTATTCGTCGTTCTCCTGCGGGGATCATCATTGTCTTGTTTTATGCGGATGACATGGTTATTACCGGCAACGGTACTTTTAGTATATCCGATCTACAGACCTACCTCTATCGACACTTCGACATAAAAAGTCTTGGTCAGCTCCGCTACTTTATTGGACTTGAGATCTTTGACACTCCAGATGACATATATCTATCTAAGACGAAATATGCATCTGAGCTCATATCTCGTTTAGGTCTGACTGATAGCCAGATTGCATCGACCCCTCTCGAGGAGAACTTCCAACTTGCTTCTTTCGACGACACTTCACTAGAGAATCCGTCCCGCTATCGGTGTTTGTGGGATTCCTAATCTAACGGTCACTCGCCCTGACATAGCTCATGTGGTTCATGTTGCTGCTCAATTCATGACTAATCTCCGGAGAGTTCACTATGCTGCTATGTTGCACATCCTTCGTTATGTCAAGGGAACACTCCTATATGGTCTTTCACTTTTATGTTGACTCTCCATTTGTTCTTGCTGGTTTCTCTAATACTGATTGGGCAGGTGATCCGATTGATCGTCGCTCCATCATAGGTTATTGTTTTTTTCTTGGGAGCTCCCTTGTTTCTTGGCACAACAAGAAACAAACTCTCATTTTTCACTTCATTACAGAGTCTGAATATCGTGTTATTGCGGATTCGACTTCAGAACTCATTTGACTTCATCGGCTTCTTTCTGATCTCGGGGTTCCTCAGCCTTCTTCCACTTTCCTCCATTGTAACAACACGAACGCAATCCAGATCTCTCATAATGATGTGTTTCACGAGCGCACTAAACATATTGAGTTGACCGCCACTTTGTTCGTCAGCATGTTCGTGCAAGTACTGTTCATCTATCTCTTGTCTCTTCCGATGATCAAACTACTGATATCTTCACCAAATCTCTCTCCCTAGGCCGGTTCTCCACATTGTTGAACAAACTCAAATTGATTTCTACTTTATCCCTTGAGTTTGAGATGAGCATTAACATATTTTTATATATTGTCATTTGAGGCTCATATATATGCGTGGATATATGCACATTGAAACTTTTTTTTCATTATTATTAATATGCAATTTCTATTTTTCCGTAATATTCAAACAAGAACCAATATAATAGTACAAATATACATTAAATTTTGAAAAATATATATATACATTTTAAAAATATATATTCAATTTTGATACAAAATTTTAAAAATAATAATAGTATTTTAATTGTAGTAGATACTTAAAAATAATACAAAAATAATTTTATTTGCCTTTTAATTTAAAATAATTATGTGATCGTGAAATAAAAATATTTGTATAAAGAAAAATAAAAAAAGCTAGGCTCACGGTTAAAGAAAATTCCCTCCAAAGGGGGAAGAATAGCAATTGGCCCTCCATTCAAAATTGCAACTCCCAACCAACCCAAATCTTAACCTGGAACTGAAATTGCGCGGCAGAATGAACTCAGGCGACAACGGAACGGAAGGATTTAGCGGCGGCATCCACTACAATTGATCGTCTTTACTGGGGTATGCTTGGTATGGTATGGTATGGTATGGTATGGATTTCTTTCTCTAGATTGTCTCTTTTACAGAGTGAGAATTCGCACGCACGCACGCTGGCTAGGACGTTTGTATCCCGTTTAGTTTGGCTGCATTGAAACCTGTTAATTACTACAAACGTACGCCTGCCTGCATCGTTGATCTTTTGTTTTGTTTTCTTTAATCGATCCATGCTGAATTGAATTGATGTTGCTTGGTTTCAAGTCCGTTTCTGTAGAGACCCTTGATATTCTAATCTTTTTATATTGTAACGAACAAATATCCGAAAGGGAAGGAAGAAGGTGGCATTTGAAATGAAATTTACTCATTTTAGGGGATTCCAGTGGCTTTCCTAAACCTCTTAGCTACTATCCAATGATGTTAATGTATTACTACTATTTATTATTAGTCTTGAGTATTGTAGAACCTCAAGATATTCTTCTTGTTGTGCAAACCAAATGGAATGACTACTTTAGCTAGGTTTTAATTTCTCATTAGTTGGACACATTTTGTTCAAGGTTAACATTTGATCCTTTATTATATGTGGATTTGTAATCTATCATTTTTGTGTGATAGGACTGATAGCTGAAATAAATGTCTTCAAGGGTTTAAATTATTGTCAATAAACAAAACTAGCTTAGCTACCTGTGTTCACTAACAGTCAAAGAGAAATGCCAGTAATGGTAAATGAGAAGGTTGATTTGATTGTGGCAGTTGCTCGCATAGACATAGATAGTGGACTTTTCCATTGTATTGTACAAGAGTGCCCTTAGATTTTGAAACTTTGGGAACAAAATTTATACCTTTTAAATGAGATCGAGCAAAATGTGTTTGCATCCAAGACAAATATTATGATGTACACAAGGAACAATTAATGAATATTAAGTTTTTAGCACATTCCAGCACCTTCTCTTTTGTCATATTAAGTCAATCACTATTGTTTTAAATTTAACATTGTTTTTAAGTTGTTGAACTGATCATGTTGTTGGCAATATCACATATCTTAAAGCTGTCGTAGCTAGCTGAAGTTAAACTGTTCTGGCCGGGGTTTGTGGGGACCCTTTCTGTATCATATCGATCTGTCATTTCTTTCAGGAGTGCATGCACACACATACACATGTTCTTTGTATTGCAAGCTTACTCTAAGTTCAAAGTTTTATTATGTGATTCATTTGTTGATTGATTGGTACTTCCTAAATGCACTGGCACTTCATATGCTGGTTTGGAACATTATTAATTGTTTAGAGAGTGATCATCTGACTAATTTAATTTGTTTAGGGATACTATTAAGCGATAATTTTGCTTTCTCTGATACTGAATGGGCTTTTGTCATTTCTAGAAACCAATGGCTGGAACTACAAATCCGAATCAAGAGGGAGTTGACTGTGACAATGACTCTTCATCAAATGAAAATTTAATCGTAGAAGCTGATAATACACTGGGGACGCTGCTCCCAGAAATGCAGAGGAATATAATGTCTCTACTCCCTACAACAGATGCGGCAAAAGTGGGATTAATGTCCAAATCTTTGAGGCAAGCATGGCTTTCAGTTCCTATCCTCATTTTCGACTATTCTAGTGAAACACAGAGGATGAAGGATTGTTATGAAGAGTTCATCAATAACACACTTGCTCGCCACGACGACTCACACGTTAAAATCTTTGAAATCCGTCTTTGGCCCATCCAGCGTTGTCGCATCCCTATTAGGAATGAGTGGATTGGATTTGCCGCGGGGCATCATTCCAGAACTCTTGTCCTTTATGGAATCATGACTAAAGACGAAATTCGTATGCTTCCCAAGTCCATATTTTCATGCGAACATCTTGTTAACTTAGAAGTGGCAGTAATGGATCTTGTGCTGACTTGGCCTGACAAATCCAAACTCCCCAACCTCAGGAAGTTAAACGTGAAATTTGCTGACATTCCCGCGTCATTTATGGATCAGCTATCGTCAACCTTTCCTGCACTGATAAAGCTGTCTATGATCTTCTGCAATATTATCTTTACCGGAGTTATCTCTGTTTCTTCAACTGGATTAACAGAACTCATAATGTGCGATTGCCTTGAGATGGATAAATGCTCGGTTGTGCTTCAGAATGTTCCCAACCTTGCTGCATTTACGTATATACACAGTAACTCAGAAAGAAAGGAGTTGGTCGTGCCTTCTACGGCCGTTCAGTTGGTTATCAACGGCAATAATTCTTATGTGCATGCTCAAACGCTCAATGATTTGAGTCGAGCAGTGATTAAAGTCACAAAGAAGCTTTTATGCAGCGGTTTTCATCCACTGAAAGCATGGCTCGTCGAGGTAAAGTTGGTTAATTAACCACCTTGCCACTTGTAGACAATCATTTGCAAGAGAGGAGCTAATTATTACAAGATTTAGTTACGATTTCTTTCTTTGTTTGGTTCAGCATCTTGCCATGTTTCGAAATCTTCAAGGACTATTGTTTTTACCTAAGTTGGTGGTTTTGGAGATATGTATGTGGCCAGTGACAGAGCATGTTCGAGTGCTGATGCAGCTCATTAGCCAATGTCCGAATATCTCCAGATTGCATGTTCTTATTGAGGTAAAAAGCTACACCTAACACACTGTGATATTTAGCTTCTTTCGGTTCTAGGCTCGACTGTTTTTTTCTTTCTTCTTTTTTGTCAGAGACCGGCACAAAGAGAAGATGCGGAGGTGGGCAATGGTGATCAAGTCTTTCTGAATTGTAAACGCGATGGATTTTTTCAGAACTTAGAACGTGTCCTTATTGATGATTTTAAGGGAGATGAAGCAGATATGCTTCTTGCAAGGTGTTTGCTTGCAAACTCTCCTACATTGCGTGACCTTATGATTTCAGTGAATCGTCTTTCTGAGATGGTTTCGACGTGGATGAGCATTCTTCAGTTCGAGAGTGCTTCTCAGGAAATCGTTGTATGCTTAACCGGGTGGTGAGTTTTTTTTTTTTTTTTTTTTTTTTTTTTTAGTTTGTTTGATAGTTTGAATTTTTTAATTGAAATTTGAATAAATAAAAGTTTTGAATTGAAATAATTAAGCGAAAGTATCAGATCAGACTCTATCCCTTTTATCTCCACATACATAATTTATGTCAGTATAAATAGGTTACACAAATTTATAAATAAGCCAGACTTTGATTTTATAATCTTTTTATTACAAACTAATAGGCCAGGTTCAAGTTTTAGGATGTTTGACAATTATTCAGTTAGTTGGTTTGCCTAACTTAATATATTAGTTGTTTGAGCTAAAATATCTGATAAAATAGCGGTTTTGTATTAGATGTTTATACGTACGAACTTTACATAATAGGTGGGTAGTTTTTATCTGTTAATTGATTCGATTCACGGTTAGTTTTTAACTAACTAATTAAATTAGTTATTTGTATTGACATATTTGATAAAACAACGATTTGTTATTAACTCTTTACAGATAAAATGACAATGGATGGCATTTATTTAAAAATATTCAATTATATTATTTGGAATTTAGAATTTTAATGATTTTTGTTGTTTATTATTGAAAATTGTAAAAATATTATTAATATATTTATTTTTAAAATTTTTTAAGTTATTTTATTTTTAAAAAATAATTTACTTTTACGGAAAAGTATAATAAATTATTTATCGAAAATAATATAAAATATAAAAATATAAATTTCTAGTATATGGATTTTAATTATATTAATTATTAAATAATTTATTATTATAACTTTTAGTAAATTTTATCTATTTATTTTTTAAATATAAAATAGATATAATATATTAATAATATTTTTATTTTTCTTAATTTAATAAATTAAAAAAATATATATATAAAATAATTGATAATTTTAATTACTTAGAAATTTAAAACATAAAATCATAATATACCATAAATATATATTAAAATAATAAATAAAAATATATGTGAAAAAATAATTAATATTTAATGATAAATATGAAATTAAGATAATTAAAGTGAAAATACGGATAAAACAGCTTTTAACTACGCCACTAAGTATCCCTTACTGGACAAAGTCAACCCTTTTTCGCATATACCAAACATAGACAAACAAGACAATTCATATAAACTAAATACTAATAGCATATACAATGATGTAAGTTTAGATGCCATTAATTTTGATATCATATTTCTTTTATAAAACTAAGCACACAATGATATAATAATAGAGATCCAAAAGTAAGGATAGTTTAAGGGTGTGTTTGTTTGGAGGTTTGGATTTTGAGTTGGAATTTGAATAGTAAAAATTTTGAATTTGAATAGTTGTATAATGTGATATAAATAGGTATTGATGTGATGTTTTGAATGTAAAATTGATTTTTTGTATAATATAAAAAATAAAAAATAAGTGTTTAATTTGATATTTTTGTGGAAAAAAAATAAGATAGAATAGTAAATTTAAAATTTAATCTTCCAAACAAACACACCCTAAAAAAACTTGGTTACAGTATGCAATACCCATTGTGTGATTTTATTAAATATATTTAAAAAGAATGTGTCTCGTAACACGTAAGTAAACTCAGGCTATTTAATACATTTGTAATTGTGTATGCTCGAAGACCCAAAATTCAAGAAAATTTTATTTACTTTTCGTAATAAAAATTGTTGGGTGCAAATTCAAGTCTTCTATTAGAAAATATGAGAAAAATTTAACATGTTTCACATGAACTCCACGAGATTTTTTGGAGAAAGTCAAAAAATAAATTCGTACGGACTCAGTCCAAAACGGATAATATCGTAATAGTCTTGAGTTGATCAAATTTCAACAAGTGATATTAGAGCCCGATTTGGATTGGATGCTATTGGGCATTGGTTGCGCAGGGCTGCCTTGCATCAAAAGTCTCATGGCATTGGTTGGTTGGACGGTCGGTCCCGACAGTTGTAATTTGTCAGACATGATGCAAGATAGACAAAGAAGGTCTATGCTATGTTTGATCTATAGACAAAGAAGGTCTATGCTATGTTGATCTTTGATTTGAGTGGAGGACTGTTGATTGAGTATTTAAGATATAAAAAAATAAATAAAAAAGAATATAAAAATAAATTAAAATATAATCAATATTTTAAGTCTTACATTAACTAGTCCACGACCTTTTGGAAGAAGTCAAAAACAAATCCGACTGGCCCTAAGTGAACAATATCTTAAGTTGACCCAATCAAAACAAAAATCATCACAAAATATTTTGTAGAAACGGTAGATGCAAGACGAGGATGAACTGAGTAAAATAAACAGAGTCAATTAGGCTCTGTTTAAAAAAATAAAATTCAAAAAATGAATAAATTAGGCTCCGTTTGTTTGGAAACCGGCAGTTTAAAAGATGAACAAAGATAATAATAATAATAATAATAATAATAATAATAATAATAAAAGACTTAACGGCGGTCCGAGCTGCCGGTTGGAAACCGCATGTCAAGATTGGCGGGTCTTTTGGAGCAGGTCGGGTTTAAATTTGTTTTGTTGGGGCGGGTTCAGATCCCAAATGTGTATATGTAGAGAAACGGTACAATGCGAAGCAATAGGATATAACAGATCCGCAAAGAAAAATGATTTACCGGAAATGGAGTTTGCTGACCGGACCGGTCACCATTCTGGCCGGAATCTGCGGGATTGTAGTTGCTGCTCAGCTTATCCTCTTTGACAACGTCAATTTTTACATCCTATTTTTCTAGTTTTTGGCTCTATTAATAATCGGTTGCTCTATTTCGGTTGCCTAATTTGTTTAAAATTATCGTTTTTATGTTGAGTTTTGTTTATTCGAAATTGAAATCGTGTGATGGCGTAGAGCATTTGGCAAATTTCTTCATGTGTTGATGTATACAAATCTCTATTGGATCTCAAGAAAATAACAGGTGTAGAATTGGCGATCTTACCATGTATACTGTTGGGACTGGGACAACTCAACAGTAGTATGATATTGTCCACTTTGGGCTGAGCCCGCACGGATTTGTTTTTGGATATTCTTCAAAAGGCCTCATACTAGTGAAGTTCACTTGGGACTTATAAGGTGTGGAATTTTCTTCACAACTTCCGATGTGGGACTTGGGTTTGCACCACAACAATTCTCTCCTCAAACCAAGGACCAATCGATGACCTTCCGTGTCCACCTTGTACCGTCTATCACAAAGGGACCCGCTGCCTGACCACCTCAATCGGGATCGACCCAATACCGCCAGGAAACTTTCGACACAAGGTACATCCGCAGGTCACGAGGGCGAGCCCACCCCCACAACCAATGCCCAATGCCACCCAGTCCACTTCACCATCTAACTGGGCTCTGATACCACTGTTGGGACTGGGACAACTCAACACTTGTATGATATTGTCTGCTTTGGGCTGAGCCCGCACGGATTTGTTTTTGAATATTCTCCAAAAGGCATCATACTAGTGAAGTTCACTTGGGACTTATAAGGTGTGGAATTTTCTTCACAACTTCCTATGTGGGACTTGGGTTTGCACCACAACAATTACTGCATATTTGATTAAGGTCTCCCTCTGTGCCACTTAAGGGTAAGTGTCCTGAATCTGTATGGTCGGGTAAGAAACTTGATTTTTCCAATTTAAAAGTATTTGGGTGTACAACATATGCTTTATATAAAGGTGATAAACTTGAACCTAGAGCTGTGAAATGCGTTTTCTTAGGTTATCCTTTAGGAGTAAAAAGATATAGGCTATGGTTAAAAGATGAACCAGGTTTCAAAGTGCTAATTAGTAGAGATGTCACCTTTAATGAAAATGAACCGGGTCGTATTCTGGATCGGGTCGGGTCGGGTCGGGTCGGTTTTGGTACATTCATTTGAAGTCAAATCTATTTCAGTATTTGGTACATTCAGACAGGGCATCTCATTTTCATTAAAGGTGACATCTCTACTAATTAGCACTTTGAAACCTGGTTCATCTTTTAACCATAGCCTATATCCTTTTACTCCTAAAGGATAACCTAAGAAAACGCATTTCACATTTCACAGCTCTAGGTTCAAGTTTAATACTTTTATATAAAGTATATATTTGTATTTAAATTTAAATCTATTTAAAATTGACAATATTGTTATAAACTTATCTATACTATTAGAATTAAAATACAAAAATACATTGTATAGACAACAAATTACATTGATCAAATACAAATTATATGAAATATTAAAATAGACTAATTTAATATGGAATATCAGTATTTTTATCTCCACCAATATCACTTAAATAACGACAAAACATATTTGAAGAAGATTGAAGATATGATTCCTGAAATTTTATTGTTCTTTATAAAGATGTGGAACAACGGGAGATTCGATCTCATAAAGTTCAATTCCCGTTCTCAATCCATGATCGACTGATTCTACCATAGAGGCCAACGATAGACAATAACCTAAAAATAGACAATTCCCGTTCTCAACGATTGAAAAAAATAGGATTTATTTAAAATAATTATTGATCAATTATTTATTTATTTATTTTATTTAAAAAAATTATTAAAAATATTTTATATATTTTTATTTGTATAAATTTGCGATAACGTAAAAATTCTATATTAATACAAAGGTTGTACGCACGGTGTTATATAATTTATTTATTTATTTATTTTTTCTGCGATCAGCTGCTGTGTTCGGATTTCGGACACGTGCTGTTCATGTACGTGCCTCACACGTCGTCGTTTTACGGTACCCTGATGTGGCACCTGAATATTATAGGCTTGTGCGTATGTATGTATATCTGTGTGTAACGCTCGGAGTCGGTCGTTGATCGATTTGACAGAATTTGAAGATAAACTCCTACCGAAGCTGTCCTTGCCTCCTAAGAAACCTGTAGAATTTTGAATTCGTTTGGAGGTTTGATTGGATTTATGATTTTGTTTCGATAATGGCGTTGTTTCGGAAGCTGTTCTACCGGAAGCCGCCTGATGGACTTCTCGAGATCTGTGAGAGAGTTTACGGTGCGCCTTTCACACTCCAGCTTTGTACTATTGGGATTTTTGTTCGTAGATGTTTTCCTTTTTCGCTAGGTGGAGCTGTGTTCCGAGAAATTCTGTGACAGCGTTGAATTTTTTTGAATTGTTGGGGGGAGAAAATTGGTGTAATTGGAGCTACTGGTTGTTGATTAGCTTCTCTGTTTGTAGCTGTGTCTTATCGAAGTTTGTGGCTTTGGGATGAGTTTCGGTTAGTAATATAAACAGGGTGTCGAATTTGTTACCTATTGAAAAAATTTGTTTGCTAGAAAGTGCTGAAATACTTCAAACAGATGGAAGTGTGATGTACAAGGCAATATGTGTTGCTATTGATTTATGGATTGGTGTTCAACAGTTGCAATGGCTGTGTCCACATGATTAGAATAGTTAATTGATGAATCACCTGTTGATATTTCAGTGGAGTTAGCCACAGGCCTTGGGTTTGAAAATTGATAGGCTGATTCTTGAAGTTTATTAAAACAAGCTTGGATGTGGCTGAGGGGATTTGTAAGGATCAAACTTGGTTATATGACAAATTTTGCATCCTTCTTTTTCATCATATAATGGGAATCGAACCTGTCCACCCACAGAGAAGTCGGCATCTTGTTGCCCGTAGTTAAACGTTGTGATACTAATTAGTACAGTTGCTTAAAAGTACCTCAAATTGATTTCCTAATGTGTACATTACTAGAAGAGGAAGCATGGAATTAATTGTCTTAACCTTTAGATGTAAGCACATGTTTATGGGGACATTAGAAGTCAACATTTTGAATATGTGTCTAGTCTAAATAGGTGAGGATTATTAGTATTTTATTTGGATTTTGGGTTAGTTACCCAAGAAGCATTTGTCAAACATTAGAAATTTAATGTTCAGTGGCGTTCTGGATTAGTTTTACTTGAACTTTTAGTGTATCTCAACTTCATATTACATATAGTGTGTGCCCTTATTCATTCTATTGAAGACACGTGATCCTTATTTCTAACAATCATCACTTATGCTTTTTAGAATATATTTACTACTTGTCACAGTATTTTTTTATTAATTAGTTTAGCAACAATAATTGGGGAAGTATAGCAAAGTATCACTAGCTAACTTAGCCAGCTGAACCAATCTAATCAGATTGACTAAGTTGCGTTGACTGTCTTGTGCAAAGTTATTGGTAGTTTTGTTTAAGTTGAACAAAATTATCCAGAGGGCTGGTTTTATTCCTCATCTTTGAGCATGATTAAGTAGTCATCAAGACCATCATTTTTTAATTTCCCTTTCCAAGTTGAATGAGTTCATCCTCCCCAGGTTTATGGGAAGTTGTCTTGGGAACTAGAGTTCATTATATTTATGCATAACATGATATTTAATTGACTTGTTTATATTTAGTAGGATTTCAATTATGTGATGGAAATCTGTTCCCAGCTATTCATCTTAGGATTTTAATTTAATTTCCATGTTTTTTAATGTAATTGTGTTCTATGAAATGAGCGTTGATTTTGTTTGTTCAACTGGAAAGTCATATTCTAATTATGAACACTTCTTATTATGGATTGTTTCATGTCTTTTTTAGATTTAGTTTGATAATTGAATAAAAATAAAAAATAAAAGAAAACCTTGTCCGTAACCTCCTCATATTGATGATAGGCTTGATTATTCTTTATTTCCACAGTCTTTGATAGTTGTTTCACGACTGAGGCCTTTGAAGAACAAGATTGCAAAGGCTATGTGGGACGGATAATATCTCAACTGAAGGAGCACTATCCTGATGCTGCAATATTAGCATTTAATTTCCGAGATGGAGAAATGCAGAGTGAAATGGGAAATGCCTTGACAGAATATGACACAACCATAATGGAGTACCCCCGGCAATACGAAGGATGCCCATTGCTCCCAATGGAAGTGCTACACCATTTCTTAAGATCAAGTGAAAGCTGGCTAACACTTGGGTCACAGAACGTGCTTTTCATGCATTGTGAACGTGGTGGTTGGCCAGTTTTGGCATTCATGTTGGCTGCATTGCTGATCTATCGGAAGTACTACAGCGGAGAGCTAAGGACCTTGGACATGGTTTATAAACAAGCTCCTCGTGAACTTTTGGAATTGTTTTCCCCTCTGAATCCTATTCCTTCTCAATTGAGGTACTTGCAGTATGTATCAAGGAGGAATGTGGCCTCCGAATGGCCCCCAGTAGACAGAGCACTCACTTTGGATTGTGTCATTATTAGAACAATACCTAATTTTGATGGAGAGGGTGGTTGCCAGCCAATATTCCGTATATATGGACAAGATCCTCTACATGTTTCTGATCGCTCACCGAAGGTTCTATTTTCAACTCCAAAGAAAAGTAAAGCAGTTCGAAACTACAAGCAGGTGCATATGTTATAGTGTTTCTCAAAAAATCATCTACTTCATTTGTGCAAGGATTGGTCTTTGTTATATTCTAAGTTTTCCATAATGTCTGTGATTAAGCCACATAACTAGTGCACATGTCATTCGTAAACAACTTTAGGCTCATGTGAGTACTAGAGAATAGCGTTGCTACTGCTTCCTGAAAATTTCTGTACAATACTTGGGTAATGATAGTCTTCTATACTTATATTCCTTAAGGAAGTTATCTTAAACCACTTATAGATTGCTTTCTGCTAAGGGAAAAAAGACATGTCAATGGTGACTACCCTCCATGGATTCACCTATATAAGGTGCAGAGTAATGAAGCCATCACTTGGATTGGAATGTTAATTAAAATAATGCTTGGTACAAAATTTTTGGTGAGGAAAGGTAAAAGAACTTATGATTATTATACAGTTGTTTATTTTGAAATTCACAGAATAATCTTGGATTACCTGCTGATTCACAGATATTCTGTAAAATTTATAAATCAAGGAAAGTTCTACCTGAATTAGCAAGAGAAGATATGTTGCATATGTACCATGACAGACTGCTGGCTGGATTCAGAATATATGAGTGCTTCTTTACATTTCATAATTTTTTTTCATTCAAGAGCGTTGGTTAAAAAGACAAACTATAAATTTCAAGAGTGTTTTCTAGTTTAATGAAATTAATAGGAAATATATGTGGACCTAGAGGTGATAAAATTCTTTCTAAAATTTGATTTATATGTAAATTCAATGTAATGGATTATTATGTGCCCTCTAACTTGTGTTGGGACATGGGTGTTCTCTATATTTTCATTCTGAATAAGCTTCGCGTTTTATTTCCAAAGGTAATGTTCGATGTTCATTTTTGCATTAGGGCATATTGGTGTGATTTTGTCTCCCCACCATTGGATTTTCCCCGAATTAAACCAATTAACCAAGTGCATGCATGAGTATTGATTGTGCTTCTCAATATATAGAAGTCACTAATTTTTAGGTATTAAGCCTGTGTTTTAGATGCCCTGCTGTCCCTATATTAACAGTTTCTGCTGCAATGTTTGTTGGAATATTCAGGCAGAATGCCAGTTACTAAAGATTGACATTAGTTGCCACACTCAAGGTGATGTTGTGATGGAATGTATTGACTTACGTGATGACACAGAGCGGGAACAAATGATATTTCGTGTTATGTTTAACACGGCTTTTATTAGGTCAAATATCCTAATACTCAACCGGGATGAAATTGACATATTATGGGATGCAAAAGATCAATTTCTAAAGGACTTCAGGGCAGAGGTACTTTTGTAAAATTTTTGAGAGGTTTAATATGTTGTTATCACTTTACCGGAGATGTGAGGATAATCACAGAACTGTATATCAATGAAGGTTCTTTTTTCGGAGATGGATACTGCTACTTCTGTAGCTCCTGTGGACTATTTCCACTTCGAAGAGAAGGATGGCCTTCCATTAGAGGCATTTGGTAAAGTTCAGGAAATGTTTAGCGGTGTGGATTGGCTAGTTCCTAAGGGAAATACTGTTGTTGAAGTTAGTGAACAGCCTCATGCTGAGATGTCTCAGAAGAACCAGAGCCCTTCAGCTACAGATGGTAAATGTGTTGATAAGATCCCAGAAGATTTAAATTTTGAGCACGCATCTAATCTCTGACAAATTTTGTCTTCAATACAGATGTGGGTAGGAAGCAGGCTTATGCTGAACCTTCACCTAGTGGAATAGGGGCAATTATATCCCCAGAGAACACACCCAGTCCTACTGATAATCACATTCTATCATCATCAACTTTGCCACCACATCAAAGTTCGGATAGAACAGTTTCTAACTTCTCAACCAAACTACCGTTAGATTCTGATGGTCATTTGGCTAAAGATGATTCCACTCAAAGTGACTCTAACCCATCACATCCTAAAACCTACCCTCCAACACCTCCACCTTTGCCAACAAAAGATACTGTTGATGGCCCTGGACAGCCTCTTACACCTCCTGCAAAGGATAAGATTAGTGCTCAAAGTGGGATCTCTCATGCCTCCCTTCTGCCTGAAGAGACTCCTATTTCTTCAACCTCCTCTTTGATGGATGAAAGTTCTAGGAGTCATGGTAAAATAATCAGGGATAAATATCCTAAGTCAGGAGCTCCTCCTTCGAAAGATATCATGGAAAATTCAGTTTCTACAGGTAGTGTAACTTCATGCATTTCTTCTCCAACCCCCTCCTCTCCTTTAAAAGATAAATCAATTTATGGAGCTGAACCTACTCTTGGCACTTTGCATTCAGAAGATAGTGGAGCTAATAAGTCTGGACCTTATCCAGCTCCACCTCCACCTCCTCCTGACCAAAGTTCATCTGTAACAGAAGTGGGGATTCTTCCCCCAGCGGTGCCAGAACCACCTTCTACTTCTCCTTTAAAGGGGCAATTTAATTCTGAAGCAACACCTCCACCTCCATCAACCCCACCTTTAAGGGATACCTCTGTTACCAAAGATGCACCATCTCCACCTCAACCTCCCCCAGAGTCTCTTAAGAAAAGTTCTAATCAAGAAAATCCTTCGCTTCCTCAAGTTTCTACTTATTATGGGATGAGTGCTCCTCCTCCTCTTCCTCCACCTCCTGTGGATCCACATTTGAGAGATACTTCGGCCATCAGACTTGCTCCACATCCTCCAACACCCCCACCCCAACCTCTACCTCCTCCAATACCCACAAAGTCCTCAACTTCATCACCACCCCCCGCACCTCCTCTGCAACCCATAAATTCCCCAAGTTTAGCACCTCCAGCCCCACCTCCTCCAGCATCCACAAAGTCACCAACCCTAACACCACCACCACCACCACCGCCTCCTCCTGGAACCGGAGAATCAACCACTGTAGCACCACCACCCACACCCCCTCCTGGCCAAACAGCCCCACCTCCACCCCCACCTCCTGCCCTTGCCAATGCCTCCAATACAAGCAGTTCTCCATCTGTTCCTTCAGCCCCCCCTCCTCCATTTCCTTCCACTAAACAACCTGGAAGTCTTCCTGGAGTTCCATCCCCTCCTCCTCCTGCTATCCCTCCACCAGGGGCAAAAGGGAAAAGCGCATTATCTCGTAGTGCTCTTTCGAAGAATAGCCAAACAAAGAAACTAAAGCCATTACATTGGTTAAAAATATCAAGGGCAGTTTCAGGAAGCTTGTGGGCAGAGGCACAAAAATCTGGAGAAGCAGCTAAGTTAGTGCTTTTAAATTAAATTGTTATTACTTCTTATTTTTTTGTAGGTATATTTGTAATTCCTAGGCTTTCATGCAGTTTTATATGCCTTTATTTGTGTCAGGGCACCAGAGATTGACATGTCAGAACTGGAATCTTTGTTCTCTGCTGCAGCTCCGAATGCTGATCAAGGGAGAAAGCCTGGCTCACGAGCTTCAGGGGGTCAAAAATCTGAAAAAGTGCAATTGGTGATTTATTGTGCCTTTTTTTTTTTTTCCGATAAATTAATGCACACATCATTTTAGTTGTAAATTTCATTATTGGACAGTATGCATATAATTGCGCCTATTTTACTCTTTTCCCAAAGAATTCTTATCATATTTAGTTTTTTTTTAGAATTTTGTTATATTTCAGAAAATTGTGTTCAAAGATTAAGCACTTATTTTTATGTTGAAATCTTTATTTTAAGCTTCTCTAATATTGTAGAGTGAAAAAAAAAAAAAATAATTATAATAATAAAGTAGCATTATACTTATATTGATAGGGACCTGCCTTGAGTGCCTTGCCTGGATTGATTTTATGCTAACCTGATTCTATCGTTCAGATATTTGTTGACTTCCAATAAGGAGCCAATGAGTCATCTTGTTTTGATTTCTTGTGTGACCTTTATAGAAAGTTTCATGCAATAGGATTGGGTTGTATTGTGCTGATGGAAAAAGTAAAAATTCATTTCCCCTTCCTTTTGTAGATAGATCACAGGCGTGCATACAATTGTGAAATCATGCTCTCTAAGGTGAAGGTACCATTGCATGAAATGCTGGTGAGTTCATTGTTTATCTATCTTAGTTGTTATAAGAGCTTCCATGTAATTTAGACTTACTGTTCGTGTTAAACCTTTTCAAATTTCAACATACCATAATCTTGCTTTTCTTTTTCTTACCTAAATTTGATTTTTGTTTTGTTTTTATTTTGCACGGTTGAACCTTTACTTTTTTTTTTCTCTCTTTCTTGGAGATTAGAAATATTTTTATTGATAGATAGTAATATTAGATACATGGAGCCTAGAGGAAATAATGGGAGAGATTGATGAATTAAAGTCAAACAGATAGGTTTGCGTTCCCACCCTCTTCCACTACACTTAGCAAAATAATCTACCACCTCTTTTGTAGCATAAGGTATGTGCTAAAAGGTGATAAAAGGGAATATTTTTGACAAAAAGGTTAAGTTTCTTTATGGCTATGTTCAGTTTCCAGGGTGGGGTTAGTACCAATAACCCGAGCAAGAGTGTTTGTTGAGTCTCATTCAATAACAATTCTAGGGAAAGAGGACCACATTGATAGTCTAAGACAGCTTCAAGGGTGCAAGAATCTTGGCTGCATTTGAATCCTTGATGCCGATAGATTTGGAAAGATGAAGAGTAAATAGCATAAGTGACCTCTAATAATTGCTCGAATTTAATCTGTCCTCGTTCACTAAAAACTGATTCATCTGTGTTGACTTTCCGTTAAGATGGATTTAGAAGATTCCAGAAGACAACTGGCTTAGTCTTTGTTGGTTTAGAGTTACCATAGACATACCCTGATGATTGTTTAAGAGATAGGAAAGAGATGCCCATGGCTGGAAATTGAGCTTGTACCATCCGTTAATAACTAGTTTCACTTTGATAATGATCCGTTCTAGTGACTTGTCAAAGAATGGCTTTGCACATTCTCTTCAAACCATGAAGTTTGGTGCGACAAACAATAAGAGTCTTCTGGGAGATGAGTGTTAAGAAGGGATGCAGGCATCCAATCTAAAACCAATTGGTGATAGGTGGAATGGCCCTTCACCTTTATATACTAGGGGAATTCCCACACATTTAGCAATGTGGGACATTATTCAACACTCTCCCCTCGAGATGATAAATCTCGAAAATTTATACAAGATCCAAACCCAATACGGGCACCATGGCTCTGATACTATGTCGGATGTTGAATGACCGTCTCACCTAAAAGCTCGAACTATTAGGGAAACGCAGCCATTAATCATATATCCGCAAACGGGAGTTCCCAACACGTTTGAGTCGGTTTTGTATTGTCTATATATAGGCCCCTTATTTTGATGATTAATAAGACAATTTCATTATTTTCCTTCAAAATTTCTAACAATGAGATCTTGGATCGAAGAACGTTAAACTTAGAAGAACTCCCAAAATGATGATAAAGGGAATCCAAATTTGAGACCCCAATGGAAAATGGCGGAAAAGATTATCTATTCTTGGTCGAGGTGGCAAAGAGGAAACTTTCTTCTAAAATCGAGCAACTCCAATAAGATAACACACATCTGATTGGCAGGTAACCGTAAAGAAGCTTCCAAACATAGGTATGAACTTTGTGAGGTGCATTGAAAAAACAGATAATGTAATAACAGTGCCAAGTTTGATGTTAATTTGAATCAAGAATCCAACAGTATAATCAACAAGAGAAGATTCCTTTTGGATTCGGCTTGTGAATGATCTTAATTAAATTGCAGTTCATAGGAGAATGTGAGTGAATAACCTCAGAAATTGAATCCCTGACTTGGACCTCCCAATTGGAAAGTTACATGTGGAGATTAATATGCCATTTCCAAACTTTTTTGTCCCAGTAACCAAGACTATTGTCTAAGAATCTTTCAATCCGCCTTTGGGAAGTTCTTCAGTTTGTCATAGGTCCACGACAGAGTGGGTTTATTAAAGGCAAACAGACAACAGATGGTATTTTCAGCGGTAATGAAATTGAAAACTCCCTTAAGCATTGTAAAGGAGGTTTGTGCATAAGCTGGACTTTGAAAAAAACCTTTGATAATAACAACTGGTGGGTCTTGCTTCACATCCGGAGCAAAATGGGCTTTCAACATAAATGGATCTCTCACATTTCAGCTTACATTTCTTCAGCTCACTCGCTTGTTCTGATTAATGGTTCTCCCTCTCCCCGAGCGCAACATTTAAAGGATCTTTGGCAGGGGATCCTCTATCACCTTACTTATTCGTAATTATTAGTGAGCTCTTTGGTAAGTTCCTAGAAAGGCTGTTTCTATGGACATTTTGAAAGGGATTATTTGTTGCATTGACGGGCCAAAAATCTCCCATTTACAGTTTGCAGATGACATGATTATTTTTAGCAAACTAACTTGGACTCTCTTTGATCATCAAGCACATTCTTATATAATTCTAGTAGGGATTGGTCTCTAAGTTCATTTTAATAAGTGCTTTATGCGGATTTCAGTTGCTACCTTCTCTTGTTGTGTCAGCAGCCGGCTCTATCATTGCATGGTGGGACAGCTGTGGTTCACTCATCTTGGTGCTCCTATTGGTAGTAGAAGCAATCAAAATTAGGTTTGTTCTCAATTTTGGAAGAAGTGTTGGAAGGGGAAGAACCTCACTTTCAGTGGCCGTGATACCCTGGTCCTTTCTGTTTTAGCAAGTCTTCCACTCCATTTCCTGTACCTTTTTGAGATTCCGCGCCGCATTTTTCACCATCTTGGATTTAAGTTTGAGCTTTCACCTGCGGTGACTCATACCAGGGTCAAAAAATGCAACTTACAAATTTGAATTCTCTGTCTGAGCAAGAAGTTTGGAGGTCTTGTCTCGATTTCCCTCCATTCATTACACAAATCTCTTCTTTCGAAATGGGCTTGGCATTTTCAAGATAACTCAAACCTTTGAAGAAGGTCATATGTGGGAATACGATCTCTCTTCCAATTCAATTTGGCCTGTGATATTTTCAGAGTTCATGCACTACCTGTGCCAAGTTCCGCTAAAACTTAACAGATGTGAAGGATGGATCATTATTTATTTAAATTTTTTAGTGGAAGTAATTTTTAAAAGGCTTAACTAAATAGATTGAACATTGAAGTCCAATTTTGAGAAGAATATAGGCAAAGTTTAACCATTCTAGAGCTTAACGTACCCAAAGTTGTGTTGAGAATTTTGAATTTTGATGAATGAATGCTTGCTTTTTGTCATTATGTATTATTATATTGTGTCCTGTTTTTGTTTTCTGACTTGATTTCATGATTATTGATTGTAGTTTTGAAATTGCTATTAAGATTATTTCTTAGGCTAGGTTGGTTATAATTACTGTCACACTTGTACTTTCTGTCACCTTCAGAGTTCAGTACTTGCCTTGGATGACTCTGCATTAGATGCTGATCAGGTTGATAACCTCATAAAGTTTTGTCCAACAAAAGAAGAGATGGAAATGCTTAAGGTGGGAATGGGATATTGAAAATTTTGCTTTACATTCCTATGCATTCAAGAAACTTAATTTCATGTGATCTATCAAACCATTTTACTAGCTAGTTATTCTGTTAGCAGGGTTACAAAGGGGAGAAAGACAAATTAGGAAAATGTGAACAGGTTTGTGTCACAGATTTTTCTTAGGAACTATGACCAAATCTTTTTTTTATGTTGATGATGATTGGCTCCTCTTAGTTTTAAACAATATGATGTTATTGTTTTGTCTTCCAATCTCAGTTCTTTTTGGAGCTGATGCAAGTACCGAGGATTGAATATAAATTGAGAGTTTTTTCATTTAAGATTCAGTTTCAGTCCCAGGTGAGAGCTTAAAAAATCTTATATGATAAGATTTTGTTCTGCTTTCTTTTTTCATGTTTTTGTTCTCTTTCAGGTTTCTGAACTCAGGAATAGTCTGAATATTGTTACTTCTGCCACAGATCAGGCAAATTTCTTTGTCTGTTTTTAATTTATTGTTTTATTGCATGAGCCTATATAATCAAGACCTTATGATTTTATCAATCTATGTTTTCAATCAGATCAAAGGTTCAGCTAAGTTGAAAAGAGTCATGCAAACAATTCTTTCCCTGGGTAATGCTTTAAACCAGGGAACTGCTAGAGGTAATGTTGAATTTTGACTCTGTATCTAAACATCTTGGTAATCTTCCATCCTTGTTTCCCGTTTCTTGTTCTTTATTATTACTATTATTAGCATTACGGTAGCACTGTAATGTCCAGCCAAGTAAATTAATTTCTGAAAATTACTTGCAGAATAGTAAAGCTTGATTTGGTATATTTTGAGGACCAACAGGGAATGAGGAATATAAGAACATTCAGTTTATGGAAACATATAAATCAGTGTATCAATGATGTGTCACCAGTAACTATTTGAATGACAAGACTAGTTCAGCTCTGGATATATTCTTATGTTTCTCAATTTATTCGTGAGGATTGAATTTCTGAAATTAATATGAAGTTTTTATATACGAGGTTATTTAGCATGTCAGCAGTTTCTGCTCTTGATATCATATGAATGAACCCCATTCTGCAGTTAGAAGTCATATAATTATGCTTTACTCCCTATTCCTGGTGGCAATTTTCCTTGTTTTGGATAGGGAATATAGATATGTGATTCACTGTGGTTGAGAATGTAATTAATATGCTTGAAATATGTTTTCAAGTCATAATAGTAGAATGGAAGATTTAGGATTTGTTCATATATATATATATATTTCCTATCTCTTTTACTATTTAATCTCTCAATTTCCCAAAACATATCACATCCAACATCCATTTACTATACAAAGCTTCACATCCGACAACTGTTTCATCTTAAAAATATCAAAAGATAAACACACACACAAAAAGAGACAGAAAGTAAGCAAGCTTAATTTTCTTAATTTAACAAATATATGTTCTATTATGGAAGTTATGCATTGATTGAAAATCTTTTACATGGTCGATATGCATTTTATAGCTGAATTTGCGGCAATAGTTACTTCAGTTTCTGGCACTACCAATTTTATTCTGCAGTTGGATATGTTCTCCAATTAGAATGTGATGTAATTCCCTAGCTCAGAGGATGCAAAATAAGTTTTTACATTTCCTTTTAATTAATTGTTATATTTGTATTGATAATATGTAAGGAAGTGAACATGAAAGAATACTTGAATCACTTTTCCTTTTCTGTGTTTCACCATTCTAAACTTAAAATCCACAACAAAATGGTTGAATATTGTAAGTTTCTAATGGACAATTGAATAGTTGAATTAACTATATATGCAAAAGGTTTACTTGATAAAGAAGTCTATTGTGACATTGTCAATATTGTTGGTTAACTCTCGTTTGTAGATAAATAAATAAAGGATGCAGTTTAAACTTTTAGGCGAGGGGTCATTTACATCATCTAATATGGTATCAGAGTCATAGGTCTCGTGTTCAAGTCCACCGTCCCCGTTCGTCGCCGTCCACGTGCAAGTTTCGTACGATGGCATATATTCCGCTTGCACGTGAGGGGGCCCGTTTGTAGATAAATTTATTTGACTCTCGTTTGTACATAAATTAATTATTTCTAGTAACTTAAGCTTTTAGGTGAGACAATCATTTACATCATCTAGCAAATGTTAATCACTCAATTAATGTGGTCATCAGTGCGCAATATAACCATAATGGTAACCTTGCTTGTGCACTCAATTTTTCTTATACGGGTAGCATTTGAGATTTGAATACAAGGCTTCTTGTTTGGCATGATAGGGATATTATGTTTAAATGGATGAATGCCAGGAATCTTAAGGTATTTGAGAAGTATATGTTTGGCATGATAGGGATATTATGTTTAAATGGATGAATGACAGGGTCTTAAGGTGTTTGAGAATTATATATCTCCATTTGCTGAGATGACAACACTTTATACATCCACTGATGTTGTTTGTTCGGTATAAACCATTATATATATATATATATTGACTAAATTATAAAATGAAGTTATGTATACAGAAAATGATTTGATTAATATTCTTGCATCTTAATTAAATCAATATGGATATATATGTCTATATATATATGAAGATTTGATACTTATAGTTACTATTTGTTCTTTTGTGATATCAAACTGAAATCATTACTATTCATTATGCACAGTTTCCAATTTGAAGAATATTTTGCCATGTTAAAATAACCATGGGTATTATGCTAGCATATTCACTATTTTGTGTGTGCTACAGTAATGACATATCCTATTTCCAAGATAGTAAATGTTGTAGTTATAATGCATGTTCTATTCTATTGGTACTTAAACCAGAAAATACACATTCCTGATGTTGCTGTGACAGGTTCTGCTGTTGGGTTTCGGTTGGATAGCCTCCTCAAACTTACTGAAACACGTGCCCGAAACAACAAGATGACATTAATGCATTATCTTTGCAAGGTGAGCATCAGGGTTTTTATCTGTTTGTTTCTTCTGAAAGTACAATAATTAAAGTGGATCGGATGTATTGCCAATGATATTGTGGGTGAAAATAACCATGTATGTTGTCTACCCGTGGAATCTTTGCACATCTGCAAATGATTATCTCCACATGCAACAAGTGAACTTGCTGCATATTGCAAACCACCAACTTTTGTTTGTTACATGTGCACACTGCACTTACCTGCACTTATTTCTTCCTCTTACAGTGGGAGCATGTTTGTATTAATATGTGATATCTGGTCAGCATAAAGTCCATGGATGTGATGTATTTCATCAATTTCAATTCTTGTATTAGATGCATCATTCTACAAAAATGTCATATTGCTTTTCAACCAGAATTTATAAATGTATGTCTTCAGTATGCAAAAATTTAAGGATTACTGTTGAATAGTAAGGTCCTGCCTTTCTTTCCATTTTGTCAAATGTCATGGCTTCTTTCCAAAGAGAGTTCCATTTTCTGGCGCCTATCATCTACGATAGATAAGCAAAACAGCTCAGAGATGGCTCACGCAGCTTAGAAGCCTTACAATCCAGGGGGATGGCTCACCGCAGCTTTAATGCGATTTAAAGCCATGTGTTTAGCGGAATTTAAGGATTAAATTGAACTCCTGAAATTTATGACTGTATAATTTTTAATCTCAGGTTCTTAATGATAAATTACCTGAGCTTCTTGACTTTTGGCGAGATCTTTCCAGCTTGGAACCTGCCTCGAAGGTAACTTTAGATTTTTTAATAGTGACCTCACATGGTCCATTTTTGGGAAAAATAATAGTATTTTATACAGTTGGGCCCTTTGAATACAGCGCTTGTTTTTCTTTTTAGGTACAACTGAAATTTTTGGCTGAGGAAATGCAAGCTATTAACAAAGGACTGGAAAAAATCGTCCAAGAATTATCCATGTCTGAAAATGATGGACCTGTGTCTGATAAGTTTCGCACGGTAAATTCTGAATGATAACAAAATGAGCTTGGACATTGCTTCTCCACCCATAGATATATTTCCTCCTTTTTTTATGCTCAATCCCTTGGTTTAAATCTCTAAAATTATTAAGTTAGCTGTTTTTTTTTTTTTTTCCCTCTTCCAACACAAATCTAATAACCTCATGAGGGAGACCTTTTCTTTGGGTGTCAAGTGCACACATGTTGTTTTTGTTTGATTCATGCTTGTGTGTTATGTTTCATGTGTATAGACTATAGATAATATGTTACTTAATGCTTACACTATTTTTTAAAATGTAACTTAATCATTCCCTCCATTTCAATTGTAGATTTCAATCATGTGCATCTTTCGAATTCGGAAAGGAGGCAATGGTTTTATGCATATATTTTATCACAATGGTTTGGAATAATTGAAATCAGAAAAAGTAAATGTTATCGGCAGTAACTGTGATGATGAAAAACTGGTGTTCTCCATCAAACCATTCCATTTCCTATCTTGGCTGACACCTTCTTGTTGATATGATGATAGCCTTCTGTTTCAGGCCTTGAAGGAGTTCCTTTGCTTTGCTGAAGGTGAAGTGAGGTCCTTGGCTTCACTCTATTCAGGAGTTGTACGTACTTATTGTCATTCGAATTGAGTAGCTATTTTTCTGAATATTATTCCATCTGTCATAATTATAGGATGTTTAAATCCAATTATGCAGGGCCGAAATGTAGATTTGTTGATTCTTTATTTTGGGGAAGACCCTGCACGCTGCCCATTTGAGCAAGGTAGTTTGTTACCTTACTATTTGCTGTAATATTAATTTCCCGGCACTATTAGCACTGTGAAACGTGTGTTCTATGTGCATTCAAAGCTATGGAAAATATACTGGTTGAAGATATCACAGTTCTGTATGCAAAGAAATGCATAAATACGCGGAGACATTGTATGTGGTCAACAGATGTTGTGCTTCTTGAAGCTGATTTACTCGATTAAATTTGAAATCATTTCTAGACAATTTTTACCACCCTTAAATAGTTGGTTTGTTGTTAACAGTTAAAAGCACTTCCTGTGATTTTGAAGGGCTTTCTTAATCTATTTCAGTGGTTTCGACTCTCGTGAACTTTGTGAGAATGTTCAAACAAGCCCATGAAGAAAACTTGAAGCAGCAAGAATTGGATAAGAAGAAGGCTGAGAAAGAAGCTTCGGAGAAGCCGAAGATGAATACTCCGGATAAGGAAATTTCGGAGAAGCTGAAGATGAATACTTCCAATAGGGAAGCTTCGGACAAGACGAAAATAGAGACTTCAGAGAAGGAAGCTTCAGATATATCGAATGTAAAGACTTCTGACAAGGAAGCCTCAGATAACCCGAAGGTAAATACTTCAGAAAACAAAGCTTCAGATAAGCCGAATATAAAGACTTCTGACAAGGAAGCCTCAGATAAGCCGAAGATGAATACTTCAGAGAATGAAGCTTCAGATAAGCCGAATACAAAGACTTCTGACAAGGAAACCTCAGATAAGCCGAAGATGAATACATCAGATAATGAAGCTTCAGATAAGCTGAATATAAAGACATCTGACAAGGAAACCTCAGATAAGCCGAAGATGAATACTTCAGATAATGAAGCTTCAGATAAGCTGAATATAAGGACATCTGACAAGGAAGCCTTAGATAAGCGGAAGATGAATACTTCAGACAAGAAGGAATCTCCACTTAAGTCGAAGATAAACACTGCAGACAAGGAAGCGTCAGATAAGCCAAAGATGAAGACTTCAGATACCAGGCAATTGCCCCAATCTCCAGGCCGTAGTGTCAAATGAACGGAATGCCACACAAGGTCAATGATCTCCTTAAACTCGAATAATACCATGAATTTTCAAAACCACATTCCCATTCATTACTGACGGCCAACAAATCCTTGGTTTCTTTTCTGCATTTGGAGCAGATGAATCCTACCATTGCTGCAGCATCCTATGAAATTGATACATACCCTCAGTCAGGTAATCAATTTCAGTTCTAGTTTGTCTTGGAAATTCATGAATTTTTCTTGTCTCTAATTTCCATTATGGTCTATGCCAAATTTGTGCTAACAGGATTCGGGAATCTACATGCTTTTTTTCAAGGTGGATTCTTGCAAGAGGATGAAAATGCACTGTATGTTTCCTACCTTTCTTTGTATGTATTTATATATAACAAAATAAAGGCATTAGATATGAATAATTGCTCTTACAACAGCATTACTATTGTGTGCCTTCTTTTGTTTTATAGTAATCATGGTCCTGAGATCCAAAGTTGAGGTTAGAATCAAAAGTTATTTTCAAATTTAATTGGGTTTTACTTTAAAAAAGAAATCTAAGATGTTTCTTTAGTTTAAATTTGAGTTTGAGATTTGAGAATGATATGGAATAGTGTTTGATGGTTTGGATTTGAATTTGGGTTTGGGTTTGGGTTTGGAAATAATATGAAATAGTGTTCTGATTGATATAAATGTGTTTAATGTAGTGGTTTGAATGAAAATTTTGATTTTATCAATGCTGTATCAAACCAAAAAAGAAAAAGAAAAAAAAAATGTTTAATTTAATGGTTTTGTAGAATACATATGACAAATATAGGGAAACAATGTCCGGACCTTGAAGAAACATGTAGGTGTGTTTGGTTGGGGGTTAGAGAGATGATTTGGCTTGTGGTTTTGGATTTTGAAGTAGTAACGTAGGGCATGTTTACTTGTGGTGTTTTGGTTTTTTATTTTGATTTTGAGATATTTTGGGGGATGATTTTTAAAGTGATTATTTGTAAGATTTGGTTTATTTGTAAGATTTGGTTTTAATGATTATATGAGGTGTAATGATTATAGTTTGATTGGACGGAAGAGATGAGATGGTATGTTTGTGTAAGTTTTATATAAAACGTATGCATATAGAATGTATTTGTATATGATTTATTAAAAATGCTTCTCTTGTTCTGTTTATTTACTCGAAATTCAATTTATTTATTTAGAAGATTTTGGTTTATATCTCTGTAATTCACGAAAAAATGGGTTATGTTGAAAAAAAGTGTTTTTTTTTTTTTTTTTTGTTTTTATTCATTAGGGAACATAAAATTTATCTATTTAAAAGGATTTGATTTATTTTCTTGAATTCTAAAAAAAAGTTGAATTTGTCGAAAAATAAAACGTGTATTATTTTATTTGCCATGACAAAATTAATTATTCATACATGTTGATTAAGACCTATTTTGTTGGCCATAAATCACGCAACAATTACCTGCTTAGAAATTAACGTAACACATACAATCGAAGCGGAAAATCCCAATAAAGAAATTCACGATTAAATGTAGATTATGAGGCCGTCCACTGGATAGGAATGACAAAAGGTTCACATGGAGTTGCAGAATTTTATTCGGATCCATGCGAGAAATAAACCAATCCATGTAGCGAAAACGAGACTGACATCAAACTTACGCTAAACTGCAATATCCGATAACGGCGAAGCCACGCCGATAGATGGAGCTTTACATTAGTTGATGCCCATAATCATACGACAAAAATAGTGGACGACATAGGCTAGTAGATACGTTAATGGTACCATGCATGTAAAGTAAAAGATAACCGAGGGCTTGCGATATAGTATCAAACAATCGCTTTCAGCGAAAGTGCAGCTTCATCCAATTAAGGGTGGTTGTCCGTCTGTGCAGGCGACGCCCTTGCACTAGTTCCTACACCTCTGTGCACGATTCAGAACTCCCCGTTGTGTAACATGTCCAACATCACCTTCACGTCCCCCTTGACTTTATGGATGTGACTCAGCATGTCACGGAGATCGCTCCGCATGACACCGACCTCCGTCTCAAACATGGCCAAGCTTTCAGAGTTGAACCGGTCGTTGATATCCTCCGATTGAGAGGCAGTGGTTGGCTTCTCGTAGGTCCCCAGGTCGTCCCGGCGTGGACGTTGTAGTATGCCCATGTAATACAACATCTCTATCCTGCAAGGAACAATTTTGGTGTCGGGTATACCCCCCAAAAGTGGTGTCAGTCCAAGTCCCCGGGCCAATTGCGTGACGTACGGACCAACCGGTATAGATTATACCTGAATGTCCGATGTGGTTGTAATGCAAAGTCGGGCCAACCAATATCCTAAATGGATAGACACCTATTCCTCCAAGCTCCATAACAAGTTCAAATCGAACTTACTACGGCGGTAGCCTCCTTCCGACCTGCGATAGTATGGGCAAGGATGTTGTGAATGTACCTGAGAGGAGCGAAACGCAACTTCGAAGCCTTTGAGCATCTAGGGTTGAAGCTTAAGCATGTGTTAATACGTGGCCAATACACCTATAGAGACAATGGTATGTCATGTAGCATAGTCCATACTCCGTCATTAGTGTAAAGTTCCTATCGTGAAGGCCTAGTGCTATCGAGAACTCTATCACCGACATCAAGAACTCCTTCCCTCATAAGCGAAAGTGAATGGTCCCCGCCTTATCATATTGGTGGATGTTTGGTTTGTCTCCTTCGAATGTGCATAAGAACTCCATTGTTAAATCTCGAAAGCTTGGCTCTTTGATCTCAAAGAATCTGCGCCAAGCTCCACATTGGAGGAACCTATCAATGTTCCCCATTGCCCTTATAGCTGCAACTGCATCGTCGTGAATGAAGCGGCCAACAAGGAACGGTATTTGCGAGAATCTTTCGTACTTATGATGAACAGAAGCATTACTGCATAGTAACTGCTCGAACGGTGTCATCACTACGTCGTTTGCTCCACACGCAGCCTTTTTTTCGAAAAGTGGACCGCAACCGTGATCCGGTAAGAGGTTTACGCACGACCTTGGAGCCCTTGATGTAACCTACAACAAAGCATTGTAAAAGCGATTGGCCGGAGTAGCACAAGAACATAGAAGAAAAACATCACGTGCAGTTAAGAAGCTCGCAAAGATTTCGGAAAAGGGTCACAACAACGAATCAAGTTTAAGGTCACCACGGGCTGTGCAACATTACGAGCAAATCGCTGGATATAACTCACATCGCCAACAATTACGATGTTTTTCCAGCGAAATACCCCGGCAACTGTGCAGCCTGCGCATGCTTACAGATAACTTGCAGGATTCAAGCCCTCATGCCATATGGGTCCAACCACTCAAAACTTGACTACGGGCTACGGGAGCGTACAAACTAAGGGAACACAACGGAAATATTAGAGTGCGATGTCTAGTTATTGAAGCATAAAGCAATAATAATGAACTACATTTGAAGGTGTCTCCTGAAGTTAAGGGGGCAACTACTCTGCCTGTTGGAGGGGCCGGTATTGCCTCCCCCGTGGTGCAAGTCTCATAACCAGTCGGTAAAGTGCATACGGAATTCAGCTTGCTCATCAATGTCATCCCGATCGGGGTTGGGAGTCACCTGGTTAAACTCTTGCAGGAATGGAGGCTCCTCCTCCTCGTCCGACTCATGCCCTTCCAGAGAGTGATCCGCTACATATTCATCGTGTCGTATCATGAAATTGTGCACAGCAGAGCAATCGACTACAAAGTTCACCTGTCGGGTGAAGTCATAGTTAGGCATGAGGCAGCGAAGTATTGCAAATCGTCGTTTAAGGCAACCAAATGCACGTTCAATGACGTTTCTCAGATGCGCGTGCCGATAGTTAAAGAACTCCTCATTTCCCCGTGGACCAGAACCTACCTGTCAAAATTGTGCAAGGTAGCGGCGGTGTTGTCGAAATGGAGTTAATATTTGAGGAACGTTCATATACCCTGAGTCTCCTATATAGTACTTCCCTGCAAATGCGCAGAGATGTACGGCCACGTAAGAAGGCGTACACATAACATAGAGGTACAAGAACGTGAAGAACTTAAAAATTACGGACACCTGGTGGGGGAAATGGGAAGTCTTCATGGTGGCTTATAGCATGGAGAAGCACTTGACTATCGTGAGCCCTTCCTTCGAAACCTGCTAACACGTAAGTAAATTGCATGTTGAAGTTGTATACTGCGAGACAAGCTTGATCCGTATCACCCTTCATCGAATGAAATTGCGGCTGCTGAGTAGCCAGGATTGAAGCGTGTATTAGTGTCCCATCTAGAGCTCCAACACAGTCCTACTCCAAAAAGTTGTAAAAGGTCAACGATAGCGCCTTACTCGGGATAGGTCATTTCCTTTTCCTAAAAGCGTTTACCTGGAACACATGCTAGAACACGGAAGACCCTCGGATCCTCTGCGGTATTCCCGTCATGTCACCGGATTTAATAAATTCAGGAGCCAACTTGCGGATCGCAACTGCAACTCTCGCCACATGCTGCCACACAATCTTCGTTAAATGTTGAAATTGTTCTGCGGTGGAACACTAACGGTTTGAGTGCGCTACCATATATAGGAACATCGCCATCTGCTCGTGCACTCTTAACACGTTGTTGCTGATGTACCTTAAGGAATCCCCGATCTATGAGTGTATGACAGAGATCATGAAATATGTCTGCCAGTTCTAACCAGGTGACTGTTAAGCAGCTCGTAAGTGAATGCAGCCCCGGTCAATTCAGAGTCGTAGCATCGCACTGGCCGTGGGTTCGAATATAGAAATGTCATAGCGGCAGCCCCTAAAGCAGTAACTATGACTAAGTTATCACGTGCGAGTGCATCATTCTCCTTCTGTTCGCCTAGCACCAGTGCAGCAACATACTACTCGTCACCGCTGCTATTACTACTCGAAGACATATTCCTGCACGTAAACCCGTCCGCAAGAAATACTTAGGAGGATAGGTGGTCGCATTGACAGAACGAGAACACATATTTTATTGACTCAGGCCAAAGCAGGTAAACAAATGGAACAATGATACAAAGTAACGACAAATTTCACTGGTTCGGAGTTAGATTCATAGGCTCGTCTCGACACATAGCACATCTTGGGAAAAACATGTCGGGGTTTTACAGACCACATCGTACGACCTAATGTTGCAGCACCTACAGACATATATCCCTCTCAATACGTTGCAACCGTGAAAAGGAACGTAACGGGTTCTTAACATGGACACATCCAAGTGCTTAAACTGTAGCACTAACACACACGTAACCAAACGTCAATCATTTCCGACTAGTGGGAAGGCTTGGGGCGAACTCCAAAACCCAATTACGGCGTCCCTCAGGCATCTGACGCAGGAAAAACTAGCGAACATTGGGTACGAGAAGATGCGTATGAGCTGTAGTAATGGCTCGCTCAGGGACGTCACTGATGGCATTTATCGTCTCCCTTGCAAGCTACACAATTTCCTCCCGTCTACGACCAATGGATCGCGTGTTCTCTTATACCCTATCAACGATAACAGTCATCTCCTTGCTAAGAACCTGCCGTAGCTCCTCAGTTTGTGAAGAGGTTCCCCCTCGTTGCACCGGGCGACGCGATGGTCCAGCTTATGTCGATGGCGACCCAATATCTGCGGAACCAGTGCTAGCATATTCCATTGCAAAATCTGATTCACTTGTATGACGTCCTCACCCGGTCCTTCCTCCACCATCATTGGTACCATCAACACTCGGACCGTTCATAGCACTTTGAAACCCAATAGTTACGGTTCCCTCCCCCGTGGGCTATGTGCCAAACATCTCGTGACAGTAGTCCAATGTTACTACGACGACTATTACGGAATCTATATGCACGCAACACAGTGAGCTTACTCGTGTGGTAGCCTACCACAAGTCACTGGGAAGGTGTATTAATGTTGTTTTTAAATGCGCCAAACAAATTTCTCACATACGCAACCACATCTAAAATGCTATGCACCATCTAGTTTCCCGATCGTCTGTTCTTGACATAATGCTCTCACGCCGCCTGCCGCGGCAATGTGGTCACGAATTCATAACCACTTAGAACAATAGGACCGTCTGATACCTAAGAGACAACTCGTCAATCCAATCCAACCTGCCCTCAAAATCTACCGGCATTAGATGTGAGAGGGGTCTCCCCCTATATATTCGAAGGCAACCAACCTTATATATTATCATCGTGCCTACGAAAGGTGCAGCTTAAGTCCTTCACCGGATCTACGGTAAGAGGAATTCAAAAAATTCACCCCCTTCGGGCAAAATCGGCGTCACACCGAACAAACCAACATCACCATCTATACCAAACTGTAATAGCCCTAACTGAGAGATACCTAAGGCCCTTGAGTTTGTTTCTTAAACTCCATATCAAATCCCACCAGAAATTTACATCACAAACACAGATCAGATAGTTTAACAAAAAAATCGATTGCCAAGAGAATAGTACCTAGTCTGTAGTCGCGAAGTTGGTCACGGCCCCTGTCGAGGAAGACTTCCCAAAAACCCGCCGAGAAATCGGAAAACCCAATCGCTAACCCCGAATCTCCGTCTCCGATTGCGGGATCTCCGTCGTCCCCAAACCCTTTCGCAACACCTGCTTCGAATGGAGAAATATATGAAGATGATAGAAAATTAGGTAGGGTATTAATATTCACTATTAATGAACTGCCTAGGAATCTGGCAGCCTTTACTGTTTGGTTTTCAAACAAAATCGAACAGTAAAATTAGATCAAAATCTAACAATTAAACACAATTATAATGATTATGGAAAGTGACGTAACAAGGAAAAAGAATAAATTAATGTGATTATATGAATAATTTTATAAATATTTGATAGTATATTAAAATAGATGTTAAATATGTAATGGAGTATAAAATAAAATGAATATTGTGATGAGTTATATTAAGTTGAATTTTATTAAATTTTTTTCATATAAAAACAAATAAATATGGGTCCATAGACTATATTATAGTAATAGACATGCAAAAAGATGATTCACAGCCATAGAAAGTATAATGTGTTAAATTGATTAATAATATTGTGGGTTGCTGGATATGCTAAATTGGTTTATTTTATTATTTATTTTACTTTGCACGACCAATTTATTTACCAATGAACACATGTGTTTACCATCGTTAGGGCTCTTTTATTTTTATATTATTATTATTAGTTTAAATTGCACAAAATTTATAGGTGGTTTCATAAAATGGTACCAAATTCTCCGTATTTTTAAAATTGCGTCAAACTTCCTCGTGGTTTCATAAACTTTACGTCTAACCTCCTCAACGGTCCTTACTTAACGGTATTTGACCTAAATGCGCTCAAACTGCGAATAAATTTTAGAATCTCAATTTTTAAATCCCTAAAATTGCAAATATATTTATTTTTTTATATATATTTAGCCTAAAAAAATAGTAAAAATAAACTCTTAAAACCCGAGAAAAATAACTATTTTTGAGTATATTTACTATTTTATTTGGGTAAATATACAAAAAAAATAAATATATTTGTAATTTTAGGGGTTTATAAATTAAAATTCTAAAATTTATTCGCAGTTTGAGCGCATTCAGGTCAAAAATACCGTTAAATAAGGACCACTGAGGGGGTTAAACGCAAAATTTATGAAACGACAATGGAGTTTGACGCAATTTTAGATATATAAAAAATTTGATGCAATTTCATAAAACTACAGTTGAATTTTGTGTAATTTAGCCTTATTATTATTATTATTATTATTATTATTATTATTTATCGGTGGTGAATAAATTTCCGTTCAACCTTCCAGAGCTTCCAAAATCACTGCTTTGGCATTAATGAAGCAGGCTCCACTCAAATAATTGAGATTTACTATTAATAATATATTTAAAACTCATTACAATTAAAAAGTATATATTTAATTTGAGGTGAAAATTTAAAAAATAATAATATTTTAATATATTTTAATTAAAATATAAGTAATATAAAAATAATTTTATTTTATTTAATTTTTTTTAAGTAATAATGTGATGGTAAAATAAGGATATTTGTAAAAAAAAATATGATATTATTAAAATGATTATTTTGTAATTTGAAATATATATACGTTGCGTGTAGACGGATGTAGTATATTATATTGTACTTCCTCTGTTTTTAATTAAATTGTGTAAGTAATTGTAAAAATAATTATATATTAAGATTAAGATAACTATATAGTTTAATTAAAATAAAACATATATATATATATATAAATTAAGAATTGTAAGATGAGATTAAAGTATATAATTATATTTTTTTTAAAAAAAATAACAAATTATATAGGATCGACAGAAATAAAAATATGAGACAAATTAAATGAGCCACAGAGTATAAAATATAATTATATAAATATATATTACATATATTCTATATTTTTTAAATTTATTTTATAGCAATAATAAAATAACATTTTTTTTTATTTTTTTATAGTATAAAATTTTATTATTTATAAAATGATATACATATTGAATATATTGATATTAATATATTTATAAAATCAAAGTTAATTTATTTTTCTATTAAATAAATATTTTATTTTTACATCGTCGTCAATTATATTATATATGTAGTATAATTCATCTGTCCCTTAAACCAAGTATCTTAATATTTTTATAATTTTTTAATATTAGTATAATATTGATATGCTGTATAAATTTAAAAAAGACAAAAATAATTATAATAGTATTATATGATATAAAATATTTGTATAATAGAACACTGCCCATCTAATATCTTAATTATTTTTCTAAAAATGTAAATTTACAAAAATGCAAATAAAGGTATTTTTACGAATAACAAGATTATTTACAATTTCAAACATATCAACTAATTTATATTCGATATGATGTTGCGATACAAAATCAAGGTAAAATAACCCGACATTGAAGCTTGTACAAACTTTGAGGCATAAATAAAATAGATTCGAGTACTGTCACAAACTCAAAATTATAAAACTAAAATACATCTACCAAAAATATAAAATTTTAACTTACTTTTTCAAATTTCGATTTGGGGTTAAATTTTTTTGGATATTTCGAGTGAGATCAAAGATTTTGGCAGTGGTGGAAGTTTCTTTGGAGAAATTAGATAGTGATTGATAGACTGAGTGAGGAGGTAAGAGTTTGAAATAAATAAATTCATTAGTAGATCTTATTATGATTTTCTTTTGTTTTGAAATTTATATTAAAAAAAAATTATAAAAAATATAGAGTTAATTTTTTTTTTTTAAAGTGATAATTAGAAATAATATTTTTTGAAATAAATCTTATAGTATAATGTATAGTTTATATAAGTATATAATTAATTAAATATATTTTACTTTAATAAATTTTACTTGTGTTTGTTCGGGGGATTGGATTTTGGAATTGGATTTTTAATGATTTTAAAGTATGGATTTGTAAGTTGTGCTTGTTCGGGGATTGAATTTTGTAATAATTATGTTGAAAGAAATTATTATTTTATTGAGAGAGATAATACGTTAATGTGATAGTTTAAATTAAATGATATTTAGATATAATTAAAAAATAATTTTGAAATTTGATGTGATGTTTAAAAATATATAAATATTTTATATTATTAAAATTGTGTATATATTGTCTCATGTACCACCAATCAGTCTATATCTTGTTGCATAATGAACTTGACGAATTGCAGAAAATTTCAACGGACTATCTTCAGCCTCCTTAGTAGGTTAGTAGGGTTTGAATTTAAAAAAAAGTTTGAATTTTAATTTTTAAAAGCGCAACAAAATGAACATTAAAAAATAGAAAGTTTAAAGTATAACGAAAAGAGGGAGTGAATAAAAACAAGACCCAACCCACAACACAATCGACACCGCCGCCTCTTTCAATTCTCTTTCTTTTTTCTTTTCCTTCTTCTCCTGCTTCTAAGTTGTTGCGCCTCTTTCTCCAGAAGACGACGTCCTCCGCCGGCGCCGCCGCTGATATATCAGGTGGGTTTTTATTTTATTTTATTTATAAGGAAATCGGGTATGTTGTAATATTTGGCCAAGTTTTTTCAATGGCGAAAAAAATAAATAAATAAATAAAATGAAAATTTATTTGTATCGGTGCAATACGATTAGCAGTAAGGAGTAGTAGGTAGTATTTGTATGTTGGGTTTTGAAGTAAATGCACAGTAAAATCAGGAGAAATTCGCTATAAGTAAACACTCCTATTACAATTTAATGTATATATATATATTATATCCACTCACGATAAAAGTAACAATTTAATCCAAAATATGGAGCTATTATTATATTACATCAAAACACTGCATTGCCATCAATGTTGATGACATGTATTTTGCTTGAAATTTTTTGAGAGCTGGTGATATGGAGAAGCATTTTTTGGTGATATTGTTTTTATGGTGCATATGCTTATATCTTATTTTTGATGAAATGTCGATTCTATGAGTAGCCCTTGTGAATTGGTTTAATGCTTGAAAATCCTGCTGAGTCTCTGCAAAGCTTTTTTGATAAAAAAGTTTAGTTTCTTTTTTATTCAGATAGAATTTATGATTTATCACTGTTGCATGTGTATCTGTTGATTAGGCAGGTAGGTTGATTTTTATTTATTAAATGGATGAGTTTGAGCTTGAAATGCAGTGAAATGATTGATACTGATTGCTTACTGACTAATGAATATGGGCTATGCTATGCTGGGCATTTGATCTGATGATCTGGTGTGTTTGTTTGGGAGTTTAGATTTTGGGTTTGGAATTTAAATAGTAAAAATTTTGAATTTGAATAGTTGTATGATGTGATATAAATAAATATTGATGAGATGTTTTGAATGTAAAATTAATTTTTAATATATTATGTAAAATAAAAAATAGGCATTTGATTTAATGTTCCAAAACCATCACTTGAATGATGTGTGAGTATGAAATCTATCTATTGTGTATGAACACGCGGGATATTTTTTGGTATTTTGCCCGTTCCTATTCCCTTGGCCAGTATCTATTTTATTTGTTTATTTGTTTTTGTTTGTGTTTTTTCTTTCGAAAAATGTGGGTATTGATTTTCTTTCAGCAATATTTACTTACTCTTGTTTGTTGTGGTGTGATATAAAGTTTGCTGAAGCTTGAAGCTTGTCGGTTTGCTAAAAAAATTATGATCCCACTAATTTTTTTTCCTTTTGATTATTCTTACTTGTCAAAGAATAGCTGAGTTATAATATTGTTCAGATATTTTAGATATTTAGTTTTAGATTTGTTAGATTTAGATTTAGATTTAGATTTGGTCATATCCATTATATTACATTATTTAGATTTGAGTCTATCGAGTTTGTTTTAGGCCCCTTATTTTGATTATCAAGAATGAAAGATTTAGAGTTTCCGCAAAATATTTTAACATGGAATAAGAGCTCTAGGAATTTTTCTAGGGTTTTGTAGTCTTCTTCAAGCAGCCTTCATCACTGTGTTTTGTTCTGGCCTTAATTGCTGTGAATTTTTCTTCTTCACTAATTCATGTCTGAAACCATCTTTAAGTGAAAAAATGATATGCCTAAAGGGAAAGAAAATAAAGACAATCTTTGGTGTACTTATTGCAAGAAATCCAGGCATACAAGGGAGAAGTGTTGGAAGCTGAATGGTAAACCTCCAAGCCGAAAGTGGCGCTACCGTGGGGGGCAGCAGCAAAGGCCTCAAGCGCATATGACAGAGCAGCCCAATATTGAGGAAAATCCAGCAATAGGGGGGTTCAATAGTGAAGAAATTGAGAGATTGAGAAGTTTGTTGGGGACTCTTGAGAAGCCTTCTGGAACATGTTCAATGGCTATTTCAGGACTGTGTGCACGAATGTCTTAGACAAATTTACCAACTCTTGGATCATGGACTCCGGTGCTACAGACCATATTACCCCCACATCTCAACTATTCCACACCTATACCCCATGTCCAAGTAATAGAAAAATTGTTGTGGCCAATGGTTCCTTAGCCACTGTTATAGGGATTGGAGATATACATATCACACCTAACTTTATCCTTAAAAATGTCCTCCATGTGCCCAAACTGTCAACAAGCCTTGTTTCCATTCAAAAGTTGACTCATGATCTTAAATGCTATGCTGTTTTTTGCTCTTTCTTATTGTGTTTTTCAGGACCAGGACTCGGGGAGGAGGATTGGACTTGCTAAGGAAAGGAACGGTCTTTACCACCTTAAATCATCTAAGAAACCTAAGAGTAACTTGCCTTCTTCTTTCCTTAGTTCCTCGAATAAAGATGCCATTTGGCTATATCACCTACGTGTTGGTCATCCTTCTTTTAGGATTTTAATAATGTTTCCTCATTTGTTCCAAGGATTAGATATTTTTGAATTTTATTGCGACATCTGTGAATTGGCAATACATATCCGTGCATCTTTTCCTATTAGCAATAAGAGAAGTTCTCATCATTTTCAGTTGATTCATAGTGACATATGGGGTCCTTCCACTGTACCTAATGTTTCTGCGGCTCGTTGGTTTGTGTCCTTAATTGATGATTGCACTCGGGTCACATGGCTCTTTCTTCTTAAACAAAAATTTGATGTTAGCACTGTTATACCTAATTTTCATTCAATGGTTCAAAATCAATTTGGGGTCAAAATAAAAAGCTTTAGGACAGACAATGCTAGAGATTATTTCAATCGGATTCTTTCACCTTACTTTCAATCACAAGGGATTATCCATGATTCATCATGTGTGGAGACACCCCAACAAAATGGGGTAGCTGAAAGAAAGAATAGGCATTTACTCAACACTACCCGAGCCTTACTGTTTCAAGGGAATGTTCCCAAGTCCTACTGGAGAGAAGCTGTTCTTACTGCCACATATATGATAAATAGACTTCCCTCCCATGTGTTAGAAAACAAAAGCCCCATAGAGGCCCTTCATAGCGTTTACCCTCACTTTAGAACCTCAAATGGCCTCACTCCTAGGGTATTTGGGTGTACCGCCTTTGTTCATGTCCACAAACAACATAGAGGGAAGCTAGACTCTAGAGCCATCAAATGTGTTTTCCTCGGTTACTCATCCACTCAAAAGGGATACAAATGTTACAACCCCTTGACCAAAAAATTTTACATCTCTGCGGATGTCACTTTTACAGAAAATAGACCTTTCAAGTCCTCTCTTCAGGGGGAGATTTCAATAGTACTTGTGAGTCTTTCGAACCACTTAAAACCCTTGACCTTCCGCATGTGCCACCCCGCAGTCACTCAGAACAAAACCCTCCTCATGTTCCGGTTGAACCTGAGTCCTCTGAACCAGTCACATCTGAGTCACCCGATCCTGTCATTGAACCCGTATCATCTCCTTCTCCAACCAGCATCACTCACAATTTTCCAAAGTTTCCTCAGGTGTATTCAAGGAGAAAGACCGTTCTTGAACTGACACAAGTCCAAGAATCCAATCCAAATTCTGAGAAAAAAATCACGGTAAGATCAGATCCACCTTTACACACACAATCTGTTGAACAGTCCACTGATTCAACTACTGTTATGGATCTTCCCATTGCTGTTAGAAAAGAAACCAGAGAATGCACTAAACGATCACTCTATCCTCTATCTCACTATGTCTCTTTTAAGCGTCTATCGTCAGCCCAAAAGGGATTCATTATGAGTTTGAACACCATTGCCATCCCTCACAATGTGTAACACCCCGGCCGGTTCAAACCAGAACGTCACCGCCACGCCACACCATAAGGCTCGTTCATCAACCAACTAGCCCTACGTTGTGGCGCTAAGGCTAAAATAACCATTACAAAACAATTATTTAGAAATTTATAATTAAAGCGCACCGGTTTATCATTTAAATAAATAATGTTCGAGTCAAAAGCATAAGTTGGAAATAGTTCAAAAGGCATTAGTTATTAAACATTAATAATGGATTTTAAAAGTATTTTAGAAGATAAAGTAGTTATAGTTTCCCCCGATGGATCATATGACATGGATGCATCATTTAGGTATAACAGAAATATGATCACCTACAAAAAGGTTGTAAGAAGAGGGTCAACACAACGGTTGAGTAAGCGCAATTAATCGAAGATAAATTAATACGATATAATGCCACAATCATTTGAAGAAGATAATTTGAATAAGATGACACATATCACATAAGGAAAACTCACACACACGAGTCTTTTAGCGCCTCCCTTATATCTCTTTTTCATTCTCAAATAAGAGTGATGAACACATCACGAAGAAAACTCCGCTAGGCCTTAATCAGGGCCGGTTCGACCCGATTTTCCAACCTTATTACTTCGTATGACACGTCACATAGTTTCACATAACAAGCATAGGGTCACAACCCTCAAAGGAAACTCCACAATGTGTACATAAGGGTTCGAAACCCAAAGTACATGTAAATCAATTTATTATTAGTTTGCGAGGGGCGCCAAACGACCCACAACCCTCTAGCTCCAATATAACATACCAAGAGGGGATTGTACGCAATCCAACCCTCTATCACGGATGACGGTCCAAAGACCTTTTCATCGTGAATGACGAGCACCTCGGAATCACCCAAAAAGGGAACCCGTCATCTCGATCCCTCGACCTAGCCCATTCGGGATCTAGTTCAAGGTTAGCTAGTTATCCTAAAATACCGGTATACCCTCACGTGTTTGCAAGGCACAGAGGTGGAAGGCTATGCCTTATCATCCAAACAATCGACGAGTTGATCGGACTCGACGGGTAGTTTCAATTACCAATTTGACCAAATACTCAACATGCTTTTAGGCAAATTTCAAAAAGAGTGTTCTAAACTCAAAATATTCCAATTGTCAACATTTAACCATGCAAAGTAGGATATTAGTCCCACCAAGTTCGTTATAATCTCACTTTATTTTGCCAAATAAACATTCGAAAAATATGTCAATCACAATAGGCATGGTCTAATTCCAAAAATCATAATATTTAAATATAATCGTAAATCTTTTTCCAAAAACCATAACTAGGTTAGGGCAAAACTAGGGTTTCAAACCCATCCCATAAATTCCACGATTTTCAATTTAAAATCCAATAATAACCTTCACATAAGCCTTAGGTGACATTATAATAAACTTTTTAGAAGAAATTGGCAAAACCTAACACTTTTAGGGCAAACCCATTTGACAAGAATATTGAAAAAGATATCAATAGAAGGGTCTAGGGATTAGAACATATGAATCTATCTAAGATTAATCCCACTTACCTTAAGAAAATAGACCAAAAGGAAAGAGTTTTTGAGAAAAAGGACTCTAAAGAAGAAGGGGGTTGGCTGGCAGGCGTGCTTTCTGCTGTGCTGCCTTTGTTCTTTTTATTTTATTTTATTAAACATAAAAGACTTGGACTCATCCTATATATATATATATATATAGGCACTCACCTGGATATGCTATATCTTAACAAAGTATGGATACGCTATATCTTATCAAATCTACACCTGAATATAATATATCTTAACAAATTATGGATAAAGATACCTAAATTAAGAGCTACGGATAAACTAAATCTAGTTTATTATTTATTTTACCCTAAATTCAATTTTACTCATAATTTAAAGCCAATTCCTTAATTTCTTATACCAAAAGCTCAAAATAAATTAGGCCTCATATAATATTTTCCGACTCTAGCGTCGAAGTCCGCAAGTTCCGGCAAACTTCCGGCGAGTATTTTTACGGGGTATTACACAATGTGTCTGAGGCATTGTCAAAAAGGGAATAGAGGGATGCTATGAGAGAAGAGATGAATGCATTAGAGAAAGATAAAACATGGGAGATCGTTGATAAACCAAAGGGAAAAAACATTGTTGATTGCAAATGGATTTTTACATTGAAGTACAAGGCTGATGGATCCCTTGAAAGATATAAAACAAGGTTAGTAGCCAAAGGATGCACTCAAACTTATGGGGTGGATTATCAAGAATCAGTTGCAAAAATGAACACAGTAAGAATTTTGTTATCATTGGCTGCTCACTTTAATTGGCAACTGCTGCAATATGATGTTAAGAACGCATTTCTCCATGGTGACTTAAATGAGGAAATCTATATGAACATTCCACTGAAGGGGACACTGGTAACAAGGTGTGCAAACTGAAAAAAGCCGTTTATGGGTTAAAACAATCTCCTAGAGCATCGTTTGACAGATTTGCATAAGTCATGAAGGAATTTGGGTACAAACAAAGCCAAGGTGACCACACGCTTTTCATTAAGCATTCAGCTGTAGGGGGAGTGACTGCTCTTTTAGTCTATGTGGACGACATCATAATGACTAGAAATGATGAAAAAGATAAGCATGAATTAAAGCTGAGACTAAGGAAAGAATTTGAAATAAAAGAACTAGGAAAATTGAAGTATTTCCTCGGTATTAAGGTGGCATATTCCAGACAAGGGATCTTCATATCTCAACAAAAGTATGTGCTTGATTTAGTGGCAGAAACAGGGAAGATTGGGTGTAAGTCGATTTCTACTCCAATAGATCCAAACTATAAATTGGGAGAAGCTAAAAAGAACCAGAAACAGAGGTTGGTTGGCAGACTTATATACCTTGCTCACACTCGACCAGACATAGCATATTCTGTAAGTTTGATCAACCAATTCATGCGTGATCCAAGAGAACCTCATCTTCAAGCTGCTTACAGGGTACTACACTACTTGAAAGGCAATCCAGGGAAAGGAATCTTGTTCAAAAGGAATGACACTCTTACTTTGGAACCCTACACCGATGCTGACTATGCTGGCTCCCTAGTGGATAGAAGATCAACTGCAGGGTATTGTACTTTTCTTGGAGGTAACCTAGTGACATGGAGGAGCAAGAAGCATAATGTAGTGGCAAAGTCATCAGCAGAATAAGAATTTAGGGCAATTGCTCAAGGATTATGCGAATTACTTTGGCTGAGGATCATTTTGGATGATTTGAGAGTCAAATGGGAGGTCCTATGAAGCTTTACTGTGACAATAAGTCAGCTATTAATATAGCTCATAATCCTATACAACATGATAGGACAAAGCATATTGAAATTAATATACATTTCATCAAAGAAAAACTGGATGAAGGGTTAGTATGTATGTCCTATGTTCCATCAGAGAGACAATTAGCCGATGTTCTAACAAAGGGGCTGAACAGTTCGAGTTTCCATGATCTTGTATCCAAGCTGGGAATAGAAGACATCTATTCCTCAGCTTGAGGGGGAGTGTCAAAGAATAGCTGAGTTATAATATTGTTGAGATATTTTAGATATTTAGTTTTAGATTTGTTAGATTTAGATTTAGATTTAGATTTGGTCATATCCATTAGATTACATTATTTAGATTTGATTCTATCGAGTTTGTTTTAGGCTGCCTATATATAGGCCCCTTATTTTGATTATCAAGAATGAAAGCTTTAGAGTTTCCGCAAAATATTTTAATATTACGATATATCATTTAGTCTGATTTCCCTTTTCCATTGTCGCTACGCCACTTCAGCAGTTGTCCAGCAGCTCGCCTTGGTCCTTCTTCATCATCTTCTTCTTCTTCGTCATTGTGACATAGTCACCCGGGTCGTTTCCTACAAGCTAGCTGCAGCTGCAAAATTGTATGTTCATTCCTTACTTTATTAATAATCTTTTATGCCTACAAGTATGACAATCTTTAAGCATTAACATTTAGGGTGTGTTCGTTTGATGGATTTGCAAGAGATTTCACTATTTATCCAAAATTTTCCCCCAAAAAACATCAAATCAAACACCTATTTTTCATTTTTTATATTATACTAAAAATCAATTTTACATTCAAAACATCACATCATCACCTATTTATATCACATCATACAACTATTCAAATTCAAAATTTTTACTATTCAAATCTCAAATCAAAATCCAAACCCCCAAACAAACACACCCTTAATAGCAATCTTGGGATGTTTTTATTTGTGTTCCATCCCTGAGTAGGCACTCCTTCAGCCAGCCTCATTTCCAATACCTGGTTATTTGGACTTCATTATTAATTTAAACTGCAACCTTACCGGATGGCGGCTGATTGGCCCCTTAACAAGAAGATTGTGAGGACCGGTCCAGTTTTATGACACTGATCGCCAGTTTCTCTCACTTTTCCATTCTCTCAGTTCCATCCGGCCCCTTACTCTATCTAAATTGCACCGGAGATGGAGTACGTCAACCCGGAAGGTCTTCGCTTGGATGGTCGCCGCCCAATGGAGGTTCGCATTCTCTTCATGTTTGGATTAAGTTTCTTAGCTGCTCTATGCTATCACCATATTATAGGGTTTAGGGTTTTACTCCAACTAACTATTTTCTTTTACATTTTAATATAACCAAAAACTCTCTGGACTCCAAAAAAGAAAGGTTCAAAACATATAAAAAACAACCTTATTTTTTGGTATTTTCTTTATACCACCTGACTGCACCGTATGTGTTTCTTCTTTGAGGGTTCAGATGAGGCAGCTTCGGGCAGAAATAGGCGTCGTTTCAAAAGCGGATGGGTAAACTTCACTATTATTTTGCACTGTTGAGCAATCTCTCTATGTTACATAATCGAACTCTTCTTCCTATAATTTAAATTGACACCTATAAATATAACTAACATGTGTTGTACATTGCTTCAATTAAATACAGCTCAGCATTATTTGAAATCGGAAACACTAAAGTCATTGCGGCAGTTTACGGTCCTCAAGAGGTATTCTGAAAAGGAGCAAAACATTCCTTAGAATGAACAATATGGCTTTTTTTTTTTTTTGCATTAATCTGGAATTGATTTTGGATTCTACTTTGTCTGAGTAATCTCAAATTTCGATGCATAGTAAAATATTGATTATGTAACAAAGCTAGAATCTTACGTTCTCTCACTCTTAGTTGGAATGAGTGAGTCAGTCATTGTTTCTCATTACTATGAGGTATCTCTGGCTTCTTTGAGCTAATGTATTTATTTTATTCATATTGAAACCTCACATCCACAGCTAATTATCTTTCAGGTCCAAAACAGGAGTCAACAACTTAACGACAAGGCATTGGTATTCATCCATGCAATAACCGACTTGCTATAATATATGCTGATATCGTGCTACTGCTTTTCTGAGTATGTACTTCTATGGTTTCCAGGTGAGATGCGAATACAGCATGGCAAATTTTAGTACTGGAGATCGTCATAGAAGACAGAAAGGTGACAGGTAATTTAACTTGATTGATGACTTGATAGTATTGCCTTTGTTGTGTTCTTGGATGACCATAATTGACAATTCAGCATACATACCAGTGCATCCATGGTGTCTTAATATTATTATTTTATTATATTGGTCAAGACTCAAGATTAGCTTGAAAGTAGTTTTCCAGTCTCTGTCTATCTACCTTATTTCATCATTTTTAGTAAGTTAGAAGTAAATATTTTGTCGACAAACAAAGAGAAGTGTTTTCTTCTGTTCCATCTGTATGGTATCTTATTTACTGTTCTTCTCACGTGCCATGTAGGCGATCCACAGAGATATCTCTGGTAATTCGGCAGACAATGGAAGCCTGCATATTGACACATCTAATGCCTCGTTCTCAGGTTCAATTTTAACAAAGTGGAAGTATTAATAATCGGAGAGGTGCTATTTATAATGAGCGTTCTTCTTTTTATCTGCAGATAGATATTTTTGTTCAAGTTCTTCAAGCAGATGGTGGTAAGATGAAATTCCCTGATTGCACTAGGGATATATATATATATATATATTATAGCTTGAGAACTAGCACAAATTGCTTTCTATTTCTGGATATTTATCCATTAACTGTGCATGTGTCTAATTCTACATTATCTAGGGACAAGATCAGCATGCATAAATGCAGCAACATTGGCCCTCGCTGATGCTGGTATTCCAATGCGTGATCTAGTTACCTCGTGTGCTGCTGGATACTTGAATGGAACTCCTCTGCTTGGTAATTAAGTAGTCCAATAAAATCTTGTAGAATATCTTTATCTTCTAGTTTCCATCATTTTAATTTAGTATACAAGAGAGAAAAATAAACTGAGTTTTCAAATTAAGCAGATCTAAACTATGTCGAAGATAGTGCTGGTGGCCCTGATGTCACGGTTGGGATTCTGCCTAAATTAGATAGAGTGACACTACTTCAGGTCCTCCCAAACATACTCAACTTTAGTTTTTATGATCACTATTACTTTTTCTGACCATTCTCTAAGTTAGAATCTTGCTTATATTTGAGCTAAAAGTGCTGATGTCTTACTTGTAGATGGATGCTAAATTACAATTGGATACTTTTGAGAATGTCATGCAATTAGCAATAGAAGGCTGCAAAGCGGTGGCAAGTTACATTAAGGAAGTAAGGGTTGATATTTATTCGACTAAGTTTACCTATATCATTATGCCCCGAATTGATTATTTTATTTAGTTATTGTGGGGGCTTTGTTACATTTTGTATTTGATGTCAAATCACAGATACTATTGGAGAACACTAAGCAATTGGAGTATCGCCGGGGAGTATGATTACATTTTGATTTTTCAATACTAGCATTAGAGGGAGACCCTAGCAGATCATTGATGAACAGGGGAAACTGAATATTTTGTTTTTCTTTAGCCCATGTAAACACTTACTATACATCTTATTGCAAATTTGTAGGACACTACTTATATTTGAGGAGTTAACTCATTTTATTGATATTCTTGTCACTAATACCTATTGAAACTAAGGTTCAAAAAAGATGTGCCACTTTTTGAACGGTGTGTAGATATGTATACAAATGTTTTCCCTGAGGATTTTTAATTTCCAACGAGTTATATGTGTTGAAATGAATTTGAGCTCAATTGTTGAAACTATTGGTTGCTTTGGAGATGCTATTCTTCAGGCATTTACCTAATTACTAATTTAAGCATCACTGGTTTGTAACTGCTCGAATGGGGTCATCACTATGTCATCTGCTCCACATGCAGCCCTTTTTCGAGAAGTGGACCGCAACCGTGATCCGGTAAAAGGTTTACGCATGACCTTGGGGACCATGATGTAACTTACAACAAAGCATTGTAAAAGCGATTAAGCGCGGTAGCACAAGAACATAGAAGAAAAACATCACGTGCAGTTAAGAAGTTAGCAAAGATTTAAGGGAAAGGGTCACAACAACGAATCAAGTTTAAGGTGACCACGAGCTGTGCAACATTACGGGCAAATCGCTGGATACACCTCACATCGCCAACAATTGCGATGTTTTTCCAGCGAAATACCCCGGCAACTATGCAGCCTGCGCATGCTTACATATAACTTGCAAGATTCAAGCCCTCATGCCATACGGATCCAACCACTCAGAACTTCACTATAGGTTACGGGAGTATAGATGAAACATTACGGCGATGAATGCTATGCCTGAAGTAGTCTTCAAACTAAGGGAACACAACGGAAACATTAGAGTGCGATGTCTAGTTGTTGAAGCATAAAGCAATAATAGTGAACTACAGTGACGAAAGGGGGCAACTACTCCTGCCCGTTGGAGGGGCAAGCATTGCCACCCCCATGGTGCAATTCCCATAACCAGACGATAAAGTGCATACGAAATTCAGCTTGCTCATTAATGTCATCCCGATCGGGGTTGGGAGTCACCTGGTTGAATCCTTGCAGGAATGGATGCTCCTCCTCCTCGTCTGACTCATGCCCTTCGAGAGAGTGATCCGCTACATCTTCTTCGTGTTGTAGTATGAAATTGTGCACCACAGCGCAAGTGACTACGAAGTTCGTCTGTCGGGCGAAGTCATAGTTAGGCATGGGGCAATGAAGTATTGCAAATCGCCGTTTAAGGCAACCAAATGCACGTTCAATGACGTTTCTCAGTTGCGCGTGCCGATAGTTAAAGAACTCCTCCTTGCCCCGTGGACCAGAACCTGCCTGTTGAAATTGTGCAAGGTGGCGGCGGTGTTGCCGAAATGGAGTTAATATTTGAGGAGCGTTCATATACTCTGAGTCTCCTAGATAGTACTTCCCTGCAAACGCTCAGGGATGTACGGCCATGTAAGACTGTAGAGGTTCAAGAACGTGTAGAACTTAAAAATTATAGACACCTACTGGGGGAAATGGGAAGTCTCCATGGTGGTTTATAGCGTGGCGAAGCACTCGACTATCATGAGCACTTCCTTCGAAACCCGCCAACACGTAAGTAAATCGCATGTCGAAATCGCACACTGCGGGACAAGCTTGATCTGTATCACCCGTCCTCGAACGAAATTGCGGCTGCTGAGCAGCCGGGATTTAAACGTGTATTAGTGTCCCATTTAGGGCTCCAACACAATCCTGCTCCAAAAAGTTGTAAAAGGTCAACGATACCGTCTTAGTCGGGATAGGTCACTTCCTTTTCCTAAAAGCGTTTACCTGGAACACAGGCCAGAACGCGGAGGACCCTCGGATCCTTTGCGGTATTCCCGTCATGTCACCGGGTTTAATAAATTCAGGAGCTAACTTGTGGATCGCAACTGCAACTCTCGCCATATGGTGCCACACTGTCTTCGTTGAATGTTGAAATCGTTTTGCGGTGGAACACTGACAGTTCGAGTGCGCTACCGTATATAGGAACATGGCCACCTGCTCGTGCACTCTAACGCGTTGTCTCCGATGTACCTTAAGGAATCCCCGATCAATGAGTGTATGACAGAGTTCCCAAAATGTGTCTGCCGACACACGCAATAAGTTCTTTATTTGCACCGGGTGACCGTTAAGCAGCTCGTAAGTGAATGCAGCCCCGGTCAATTCAGAGTCGTAGCATCGCACTGGCCGTGGGTTCGAACATAGAAATGTCTCTGCGGCAGCCCCTATAGCAGTAACTATGGCTAAGTCATCCCGTGCGCGTGCATTATCGTCCTTCTGCCCGCCTAGCACCAGTGCAACAACGCACTGCTCGTCACCGCTACTATTACTACTCAAAGACATATTCCTGCACGTAAACCCGTCCGAGGGAAATACTTAGGATGATAGGTAGTCGCATTGACAGAACGAGAACACAGATTTTATTGACGCAAACATCAATCGTTTCCGACTAGTGGGAAGGCCTGGGGCGAACTCCAGAACCCAATTACAGCGTCCCTCAGGCGTCTGGCGCAAAAAAAACTCGCGAACTTCGGGTACAAGGAGATGCGTACGAGCCGTAGTAATGGCTCGCTCAGGGACGTCAATCATGACATTTATCGCCTCCCTTGCAAGCTGCACAGTTTCCTCCCGCCTACTAACAATGGATCGTGTGTTCTCTTGTAACCTATCTACGATAACAGTCATCTCCTCGCTAAGAACCTGCCACAGCTCCTCATTTTGCGAAGAGGTTCCCCGGCATCGCACTGGGCGACGCGATGGTCCAGCCCCTGTTGAGGGCGACCCAATATCTGCGGAACCAGTGCCAGCAGAGCCCATTGCAAAATCTGATTCACTTGTACGACGTCTTCGCCCGCTCCTCCCTCCACCATCATTGGTACCAGCAACACTCGGACCGTTCATAGCACTATGAAACCCAGAAGTTACAGTTCCCTCACCCCGTGGGCTGTGTGCCAAACATCTCGTGACAGTAGTCCAAATGGGCAAATGGTTTGGTCAGCAGATGGTGGAACCTAGGCTTTTGCTGGATATTAATTCAAGTTACAAATGTAAGATTGGAAAAGGTGGAAATTGTAAGGAACCTTGTATGGAATGTGTATTGTAAATTCATTACCCTAATCCAATCGGCTTTACGCTCCTCATCAGCTGCGACCAACCCAGTGCTTGCATCCCACCCTAGGCCCGTTGTATGGACAATAAGTTTCTTCAGCTTGTTCTACGCATCCTTAGTCCGTCTTAGCTTCTCTTGTAGTTGGTCTATCGAGTACGGTGTATTAGTTTCTATGATGAACTCCGCCCTTATCATAGTCCATATAGGGGGTGCAAAGTTCGTGCCGGAAAGGTTTCCAGCATGAAATTGCTGCTATAGGATGTGCATGAAGGTCTCCTCCTGCTTGTAGGTCCAATTCGTTACTGCGACTCCCACGAGACATTCTCTGCAGCCCAATCGAAGCTGCCCTCAAAATCTACCGGCATTAGATGTGAGCGGGTTCTCCCCCTATATATTCCAAGGCAACCAACCTTATATACTATCATCGTGCCTACGGAAGGTGCGGCTTTAGGCCCTCACTGGATCTCCGGTAATAGCAATTCAAAAAATTCAACCCCTTCCGGCAAAATCGCCATCACACCGAACAAACCAACCTCGCCAGCTATACCAAAATGAAATAGCCCTAACCGAGAAATTCCCAAGGACCTCGAGTTCGTTTGTTAATATCCATATCAAATCCCACCAGAAATTTACATCACAAACACAGATATGAGGGTTTAACCAAAAAATCGACTGCCAAGAGATTAGTACCTGGTCTGTAGTAGCAAACGCTGGTTGCAGGGCGTGTCGCGGAAGACTTCCTAGAAACCTGCCGGGAAATCGGAAAATCCAGACGGTAACGACGAAACTCCTTCTCCAGTTGTGCGATCTCCATCGTCCCCAAGATTTTTCTCAACACCTGCAATGGATAAATAAAGGGAGAAAATAGAAAATTAGGTGGGGGAATTAATATTCACGATAAAAGAACTGCTCTCGTAGGAATCTTGCAGCCATTCCTTTGCAGTCCTATCAACCTACCAGTCAGCGTGAAGAGTAGCCTTAGGTCTAGGACTTGTAGGGTTTTGAGACAAAATCCAACAATAAAACATTTACAAAATCCAACGGGTAAACACACCCTTAATATTTTTGTAATTTCACGTTAATTTTTTATTTTATTTATTTTTTAAATTATTCTTTTTTTACATAAAAATAATCAAATTAAACAATTTTTTTATTATTATTATTATTATTATTATTATTATATTATTTTAAAAATTGCCTCGATAAAATAATTCAAATTTATTGATTTTTTTTTAAAAAAAATTATTATGTCAAAAAATAAAAACTAAATAAAAATTATGTAATTATTTAAAAATATAAACTATATGTGAAATATTTTTTTAAAAAAAAATATATAAGAAAAAAAGAGAATCAAATCGAAGCCATCTCCACCACTTTCAATCCCAATTCTCCTCCTCCTCTAATAAACGCCAACACAATGGCCTACCCATCAACTGCAAAAAATCGTGGAGGCTTCGCTGCCGCTTGATGCAGAAGGAGTGGCATGGCATCGATGGTCTTCTCTCCTCCGTTTATTTTCTTCTTTTTTTCTCCTCCCTCTCACTCTCTCTTAGACCTTCTTTTCTACCGGGGCGGCTATTGCGGGAGGAGGAGAGGGGCGACAGCGGCAAGATTGGGTGAAATCTGGTGGCGCTGGAAGAAATCAGACGAAATCCAACGAGTTGAGGCCATTGCAGAAGGTTTGGAGAGATTGTGATTCCATCTTCGACACGTCATCAGAGGCAACACGTCACATGTTGAGGGTTATTTTAGAGTATCAACAATGAATGCATCTACACTGTGATGTGTTATTGGATCAGGTCTGAAAATAGTTAAAAGTAAAAATAATTTTCGCTAAAATGGTTCTCTGGTGTCAGATTTGCCATGTTGGTCCGTCGTTGCTGATGTAGCGCTAACATGATTGATATGTCATCATAAATGTCGCGTTAGCGATACGTGGAATTTTTTTTATTTTACAAAATGTCTTGGTAAACTATTTTTTTAG